GAGACAAAGGGTGGGTTGTTTTGTAAACAGAGACACTAGATAAATGAAAGAAATTGTCAGTGTTTCTTCTTTTGTTGCTTTTGTTGGTAGTTCTCATTCCCAGGTGTTAAATCTGCACCGCCTGCTCTCTTGGCCTAGAAGTTGCAACTTCAGTTTGACTTCTTGCTTTAAGTAGGCAAAATGTAGCATTGAGGTCATGACTGAAAGCTGCTTTCCTTGCAGTCATAAGCCTTGAAGTGTAAACTTCTGGGTTGTTATGTTTTGGGGTGCTTTTTGGTTTTTTTTTTTTTTTTTTTTCACTTTGAAATTTACTGAAACAATTGAAATGTATTTGAAAAGGAAGTTGAGTTCATGAGACCTGCTCTTCCTCTCTGGTTTCTCTGTGCCATCAGCGGAAGTTGAAAATGCGCTGACTGCGGGAAGGGCAAAACGTGTTCTCAGCCCAGGCACCGAGAGAGGAACCGTGTGCTGCTGCTCCAGCGTTCCTGTCAGCGCCGCTTGCGAGCGCTGGGGTTGTCTGCCACAGCTCAACATTCTCCTGTTGAATAAACGTTGTACCTTTTTATCTTTGCCAGTCGGTTTAATGAGATCGTGAAGGCCACTTTGCCCGTAGTCAGGGTTTGGAAAACAAGAAGCTAATCTGGATAAGGATACTTGGTTACTAATTGTCAATATCTAAAGAGTGGTACTGGTGGTTCCAATTTACTGTGGAGCAGTTTATAGCACTGACAGAGACAGTACACTATCTGGAAAAACTACTGTACTTATACAGGACTGGCAGTCTTATATTAAAACCTACTGGTCCTAAAACCCCAAATTTGAAAGTAATTTATTTAAATTGCATCAATCCCAATTTCATAAAGTAACACTAGGTAGTAAATCTGTACCTAATCTCTTTGTGATTATTTTGGCTGTCTTTAAAATTCTCACAAAAGCATGAGAGTCTCTGGACTTTTGTACTACCTCACTACAAAAATGTAGGCTCAGCTATTGAGGTGCTTTCTTGTATTAGGAAGGGTTTATCTGTTTCATTTAGATTCCAAATTTTAAAACAGTAGGATGAGGTGGAAAGTGTTTAATGAATGGAATTAAGAGGCTGCAGAGTGCAGGAGGAAAAATGAGAGATACTTGAAGTAGTCAAACATTTTAATAGTAGGAGTTGTTGGTATAAAGGCAGAATTTGAAGCCTAGCACTTCTTTCTAGGATGAATGGTTGTGGGTTTTTCCAATTTGCACTCGCTTATTACTTTGTAAGAAATTTTACTTCTCTTACTTATGGTTGTTTTGCCTAAAAGAGGTTGTGTTTCATAAAAGTATTTCATTCTCCACAGTTGGGTATTAAATACTGAAACTGTTGTGTCACTCCTGTTCCAGCTAAGCCTCCAGGAGCAGTAACTCCTTTCCTGTACCCTGTCTGTTTAATGGTCCCTCCTGTAGGCCAGTTGCATAATCATTGAAGTGTGTGTTTATCTCTCATCAGATATTGTTGTTCCAAGACCTTTTTTTTTTATTGTGAAGGGATTTTGACTCCTCAGAGGAAATATAGGAGTATGCAGGATTCAATGAATGTTACTCATTGTGTGTTTTTTACCTTTTTTTTTAAAGAGCTTTCACTACTTGCACAGTAAAACTTTCTTTTGTTAAGTCCTTTATTAAAGTCGTTGTCTTCTGTCCTTCATTTCCCTATTGTTAGACTAGAACTTTTTTTTTAACATAGCAAAGCATAGGATTTTCTGTCGTGGGGAGGGGTGAGGAGAGTCATTGTTCTGTTAGCAGCACTTCCACTGTTAGGAACCAAAATATCGTATCATGACGGGAGTCTCTTTCAGAATAATGGAAAATGATTGACTTGCAAATATTCACAGTGTTTACAGTCTGCATTTTTGCTGTTATTAGCTGATGGAGTCAAGGACTGGTACAGATAAGATCTTAGAACCCCAACTGTCACCTGCTGTAGTGTTTCATATCATTTCAAACATTTTCATCCATTAGTCGTGTACATTTTTTTTCATTGTTTTGTTTTGTTTTTGTTTTGTTCCCATCATCTAACTTTTTGTTTTCCCCCTTTAAATGTTTTGGTGATTCTCCAGAACCAACGAAACGTATGCTTTCCTTCCAAGGGTTAGCGGAGTTGGCTCATCGTGAGTATCAGGCAGGAGACTTTGAAGCAGCAGAGAGGCACTGCATGCAGCTCTGGAGACAGGAGCCTGATAACACTGGTGTGCTTTTGTTACTGTCATCCATTCACTTCCAGTGTCGCCGACTGGACAGGTAGGCTTCTTCCTTCTGCAGTTTTGCTTGGGCTCACCAACTTTACAATAAACAGGAGGCCTTGCCATTATTGTCGTGTTATTTTAATATTGTGCATATTAACGTTGGAATATCAGCCACATTGGTGTGTGCTGGCAGGATTTACATGTGTAATGTTAATTCCACCTACAGTCTAAGGGTTTGTGGTTTGGGGTTTTTTTTTCTGTAAGACTGTTTCCTGCACAACAACATGTTTAGTTAAAGGAGTTTTGTGATCTGAAAGTTGTTTCTTTGTTCTTTCTGCTTGCCTGTTCCTGATCTTGCTTTCTGTGCCTCTGGCATTTTGAATTTCACTTGTTCTAGCTGTAAATTCATGTTTGCTGGTGAAGGAAGTAAGAACTTTTGACTTAATTTGTTTTATGTAGTCTTCTGATTGAAGTTGTAGTAGTTCAGATCTGGGAAAATAGAATGAGTGAGGATACAACAGAGTTTTACATGTAAGTCACGTCCTGCTTCTTGAGAAGAATATCAGAACATTGCTTAACACATACAGATGTTGGAAGAGGGATTCCTGTAGTGTTTTTTCCAAGTGTATTGAGCTCAGGTTTGGTGAGGCAACTTGAACCCTTCTGTCTGTGAATGAGAGCTGTCTTTGTTCAGTACAGCCTAAAATGGGAACCAGGGCGGTCGGAGTTTAAAGTGGCAGGATAAAGAAACAGGACAGCTCTGTACGTCCAGATTTGTTTGCTGTGTGTTTGGCTCACCTAAGCATGAATGTTCACTAGAGTGACTGGATCAAAAGACAAACGCTGAATGTCGAGGGTGGGTTTGTTTGGGGTTTTTTTGTTTGTTTTTCAGTCATGTTTCTTATTTGCTAACTGGTCTGTTTTCTCCAGGTCTGCTCACTTCAGCACTTTGGCAATCAAACAGAATCCACTGTTGGCTGAAGCCTATTCAAATCTGGGCAATGTGTACAAGGAGCGTGGACAGCTGCAGGAAGCAATTGAACATTACAGACACGCACTGCGCCTCAAACCAGATTTCATTGATGGATATATTAATTTGGCTGCTGCACTCGTAGCTGCAGGTGATATGGAAGGAGCAGTACAGGCATATGTGTCTGCCCTTCAGTACAATCCTGTAAGTAATGCTTTATTTTATAGAAGTCCTTTCTTTATTACCGCTTTAGGACACAAAACTAGCAGCTTTCAAAGCATGAACAATAGATAACCCTTCCAAGTCGTATACCGTAAGCTTAATTAAGCAGTTAATATTATTTTTGAGGATCTTTGAGAGGCTTTTGTCACTAAAAGTTGTGTATTGCAGTAAGGGCTACTGGTTGTCTGCTTTTCTCTGTAAGTAACGTACTTTTTAGATAAAAGATAAGCAAGCCTTGGTTTTTGTTTTCTGAAGATAGAAGCTTCAGTGAATGGCCCCATATTTAGCTTTGTGTGCTTTAAGGTAGTACTGTAGTGAGAGAATTGATGCTTAGACTTGAATGTCTTGGATCTTGGAAAATCAGCAGGTATTACTTTATCATGAAGTCAGAAATTTGATGGTGATTAGTGTTGCCTTGGTAAGATTTCTGCTGTAGACTGTTAGATTTCCATTGTGGGCTGGTTTACAGGAGCATCAGTTTAGGTTTTGTTGGCTGAAACTGTCTATAAGTGACTCCTATAAGACTGATTGATCTGGTATATGGATTTTTGGTTGTAACTGTTTCAAATTGACATTTTTAGTAAACAGACTGCTGTCCTCTGTTTATTTTGCATCATGCTCATTAAATTTGTATAGAATTGCTCAGCATGATAAAGGTATTTGCTTGCTCTTTGGTCAAACATTTTGATAAAAAGTACTTCAAGTGCAGCATTGGTCCCATGGGCATAAATCCTTTTTCTGTAGGGAAAGCCAAAGCAAACCCAGTCCAACAAGAGACTTCCTGAACCTTATTTCTCTGTGTTCTTAAGCCGGTGTGAACTTGTCTAACTTAATATGCCACGTGGTGTGAATAGTGGGTGCACTGGTTAGAATAATGTGAGATGGTGGGTTTTTTGTAGGAGTTGAGTTTTGTTTAGGTTAGTAGATCCTTTCATTAGTGTTGACAAAATGTCTACATTCTCTCTGGTCTTTACTGCTGGATAATGCTGTTGCAGATTGTGCTTTCATTTCAAACAAATGAACAAGAACATGTGGTAAAGCTGTTGGAAATGGATGGATTAGTGGACAAAACAGGGAGGAAAACTTCTTTAGGGATACAGGCAGCAAAATCACTTCTTGTATCTATTTAAAGGCCATAATGGCAATGGTGTATCTTAAGAGTACAGGTTTGGCATTGTTTAAAAAAAGGGGGGGGCTTGAAATGCTTACATGTGGCAAAAAGACTTAAGCTGCTGGGGGGGGCATTTCAGTTTTTTATTTCTGTATAATAGAAATTGTATGAAATACTACTTCTTTTTGATTCTTCACAGTTGTACTTTGACAGTACTAAATTTGCCCAGATTATCTGTTGTTTGTAATCTTAGGTCAAAAAAATAATTTACATATGTGATGTATTTACTGAGAATCTAAAATAAGCTTTAGAGGACTGGGTTGTTCCTTGCAAATTCTCTGTGAAGACCTGTGGGGAAGCTGATGGTGTGATTTTGATTTTTCAGGACTTGTACTGTGTTCGTAGTGACCTGGGGAACCTGCTCAAAGCCCTGGGTCGCTTGGAAGAAGCCAAGGTAGGTGTTGGGTAGAATACATGTAAACATCAGTGTTTTGAAAACTTGAACTTTGCACCAAGTCTTCAAATCTGCGTTGATCGACAGACAGTCCAAGAAACTTCTGAAAACTGAAGGCACTGAAACACCCCAGAGTAGTTGCAGGGCAAGATATGGCATGTCCATGTTTAAAAAGTTGGTTTAAGTCAAGAAATGGAAAGTTACCAAGCCTTGCTGCTGAACTAGACTATCTGATACCATTCTGAAGTGTTGGGCAGGGGCTCCATCATGCTTTCATCTGGAAATAAGTAACAATCCTTCAGATCTGAGGCTTGCCTGCTGGTGCCAAGCAGAGAGCCTGTGGTTAGCTCGAGATCCCTGTACGATGCAGGTGCAATTGAAAAGGCTGCTCTTCTAAAGTCCTTTGTGGCTTGTAAGTGGAGAAGAAACTTATCCAAATGTTACCTTGTAATATTGGCTTTTAAAGATTTTTATTCTTTTAACTTTTCCCTTCCCTTGATAGTGGAAGAAAGGCTAGTAAATAATAGCTGCAGTATGCGACACACACCACCCCCCCGTCCCCATCCCCCGATATCTTTTCTTCGTGTCTTCCCTCTCCCCTCCCCAAAATAAAGAAATCGGAAGGACAAAGCTGGTTTGTTTGGTAAATGAACTGATCAAAAGAAAACTTGCTGTAGTGGAAAGGTGGCTTCTAGCAGTCGTGCGTTTCCTAAACCGAGAATTCGAACACCAAGACGAGTTGAAAATTCTTGGCACGTTAAAATTTGGATTGCAGAAAGAAATTGTCTTGTTACAAGCCACCTTACGCGTCCGCGCTGCAGGGGTGAGGAGCGTGGAGAAACCAGAGCCACTCCGGGCTCCGCGGCTGTCGCTCCAAGCCCCACGCGCATGCTCGGAAGTGGAGTGTATGAACAGCGTAGCTGTCTGTTTGGCTGCAGCACCATTGGGGGAGGGTGGGCATCTTTGTGGGCTAACGGGGACTGCGGCTTCAAAATTCAGTATTGCTTTGTTTCTCATTGACAACCTGGATGCGTGTACCACCCTAGGGCAGCCTGATTGATTTGGTCGGATCCAGGTTGAAACCATTGCGTAGCAGCGTTCGGAATGGAACGCTCTTTGAGACACTTGGTTCTCAGCCCACCAAGCGGACAGCTAACACGAATTGCACTTCACTGCAGCTTTAGTGTGACTGGTATAGGCCAAGACACTGCGCCTGCCTTAGGTTGCTGACTTCTTTGTTTCAGAGCTCTGGAGACACCTAGTTTGAAAGTGTTATTCCGTTTTGTGAGATCTTAATAAACGAGGAAAAACATCTTGAGTAAATTGCAATGTGTTTCTTTGGTTATCAGTCCATTTGAAAGATCAAGCCAGCAGATTCCTTACAGTTTGAACTAAAATTTAATTTCTTTGTAGATGTTTCAGAGCCTTTCTTCCAAAAAAAAAAGTCCCTGCTGTATGCAATTGCCCGATTAACCCTCTCCCTTCTGCATGTCTCCCTTGTTACAGACAGATTATCCTCATTCCCATGTGTTAAGACATATCCAAAAAAATGCAATTGCTTTGTTGAACTCTTACTAATGATCTTGTTTTATTTTCTCTCTTGTTTTTGGTTTTTCACCACTGATATTGTATTTAGAAGGTTTCAGGTGGGTGAAACCTCCTATTCCATGCGTAAGGTGCCTCGCTGAAGGGAGCTCGAGGCCTGGATCTAGGGCAGACACACACCTCCTCCTCCTCTTCCAGCAAGGAACGCACCGAAAAGTCACATGATGAGAAATATGGTAACGGGTTTGTAACTGCCACAGCAAAACCATTTGCCTCCATGCCTGAATCTTCTGTCTTGTGGCTTCAGAAACAGCTTAAAATATTTAATTACAAGCAAGTAACGTAAGAATATTTTATACTATTAGCCACAAATTCTTTCAAAGAAATAAAGTAAAAGTAAATTAAAATATTTTTTAAAGAAATAATTGGAGATAGTTAATAGTAAAAGCTTCTAACTCTTCCGGTTGTTCATTTTTTTCCTTTTTTCTTCTTTGTTTGGATTGCAGCGTTCTGCTCTTCTGATGACGCGCTGTGATCCTGCAGTAGCGCAAAGGCTGCGCAGCGGTAACGCGCATTGCGTGCGATTAAAGCCCCCGTGAACGGTTGACTCGATGATTAATCTGTGATCGGGCGACTGCCCGAGCTCCAGGCTGCGGCCTTTCGGACAAAATTGGCTTGTAACGCGTTTACGGAGTCCAGACGTCAAATTTAACGTGCGAGTTTTGTGTGGGCCTGTCTGGTAGATTAATGATTCTGGTTGGCTGTTCACTGCACTGGGGGCGATCGCTAGAGCCAAGCAGTTCGCAGCGATAGCGTGGCGCCGTGCTGGGTAGGATGCGCAGCGATTTCTTGCGCTTGCATTACAGGGACCTAAACCTTCATGCAATCCTGTCATTTGAGGTTTTGAAGCTGCAGGAGAGGTTGAGTTGTATTTGAAGAAACAAGATGTGGATGGGGGGGTGTGTCATCTCATTTCACAAGCGCACTTTAAACCGAGGAATGGCTTTATCTTTTTCAGTAGGTTTTTTTCTTTTTTTCTTCTTTTTTTTAATGGATTTCTGTCTGATTTAGAATACTTGAAAATTTTGTTTCAGAGTAAAGTTGTTTTTACACAGCCTTTTTTTTTATTTTTACGCACTGAAAGGCAGCAGATGTTCTGGTGAACTACTGGAATTGTTTCTAAGACAATTTTTGGTGGCAATCTGGTGTCTGAAGGAATGTTACTCTATTACCAGCATAACTGAAAAATGGTGGGCTTGCACCTGGGTTTTGGTTTGCGCTGGCGCAGGATCAACAACAGTTTGCAGCGCATTAGTTTTGGCGCAAGCTAGCCTATACTGCAGGGTCACTTTTGGCTGGTTAGAGAATGCATACTAACAATTCTTTTTTCTCATTTTTTTCTTTTTACAAATATTCCCCTTCCCTTGTATCTCTCTTCTTTAACTATTCCAAGGCCTGTTACTTAAAAGCAATTGAGACTCAACCAAACTTTGCAGTGGCTTGGAGTAATCTTGGCTGTGTTTTCAATGCCCAAGGAGAAATTTGGCTCGCAATTCATCACTTTGAAAAGGTAACTACCTAAGGGAGTCAGCTTCACTGCTAGATTTAAATGTACATGCAGTTGTGTACTTGCAGGTGATAAATATTTTGGTAGTGGAGAACTTTATATGATCCTGTTAGTTGGCAGCTCATGTTAATTGTTTTTTTTTTAAACTTGCTGATGTTTCAAACTGCCTATATGGTACTAGAGAGAAACACTTAGAACACCCCTAGGACTTCACACATGTCAGATATGAGAAAATTAATTAAATTTTTCTTCAGCCCTTTCCCAGGCTAAATTTTTTTAAAATCTGGTTTGATGACAATGTTTTGCATGTTTTGTGTGTGAGAGAAAGAGTCAACTTGGTGCCTAAATCATTTTGCATTGTGATTTTTGTTTCAGGTATTACTGTCCTTTGAGTAATTGAGAAGAACAGTTTTAAGTGACACATTAATTCCTCTTCTCCAGGGTTATTTTTCACTACTGTTCAGATTTCTCTAGATTAGTGTTATTAAGTAGTTGTCTGAGACCTTCCAATTAGTGTCTAATTGGCATTGTAATTAATTTTGTCCTCATCTTTGAAGTTTCTAGAGTGCCCTGAAGCTGAATTTAAGATGTGGCAACAGCTTCTTCCTGAAATTCATGGCTTTAAATCTACAGAAAGAAATCTAGCTGCTCAAGACTTTTTTTTTTTTTTAATCTGTGTCTGTGTGATAGATGAAGTGTTTTAATTTGCAATTAATAGTTCCCTTGAGACTTTAAGAGTGGGGCTTGTCAAATACTCATGTGTAGCTTTGTACTGCAGCTTCTGTAACTTCATCAGTTCATGTGATTTTTTGCATTTTATTAGTTTTGAAGGGAGCAAAGATGTTTTAGTTAAATGGCTACTCAATTTTCCCTACACACGTGATGTAGTTGCTGTTTCCTTGTTCTTGTGAACAGCCTGTTTTCATGCCCTGGTAAAGCTTTAAAATTCTGTCTTACTTTGCAGTAGATAAAGGATACAGATAATGTTTTTTATGGTTTCTTCTCTAAAAACAAGATAAAGACAACATAGCATCAGTAGACAGGAGTGCTAAGTATGATCAGCCTAATGTGAAGTAAATGCTTAACACTTTATTCTGCAGTAGTTGCAACTCAATAGGTAAGCAAACAAATAAATTTGAAGGTGGTACATGCTGTCAGTTCTACAGATAAATAACTTTGCTCTGTGATTGGTTTGTATATTTTCCTTCCTTACTGGATTATTGATAAAGTCTTAATAACTTACAGATTATGTTTATCAAATTTTTAAAAAACAGCAGGGAACTCAGTTTCATAGAAAATACGTTTGTGTTTCATGCTCAAAACTTTTACTTCAAAACTATTTTCAGGCTGTAACACTTGACCCAAATTTTTTGGATGCTTATATCAATCTGGGAAACGTTCTGAAGGAGGCAAGGATATTTGACAGGTAAGCAGATCAATACTGTTGCTCTCTGTGGCTTGTCAGATATATCAAGATACAGATTATGTTCCTTCTGCAAAGTGTCTATGGGCAGGAGTAGCAAAGACTTCAGCTCTAAGCTTAGCAAGCAGATGGCTTTGAAGTGCAGAGAGACCAGACTACTTGTCTGTTTAAATAAAAATAAAAAATCCCAGTGATATGTATTCTTTCATGTTGCTTTCTTGTACTTAATACATTGTCAAAACCAAGAGTTTCTGATGAAAATAGATTGGAAATTAAGGCTGGGGAGAGTGAAAATAAGATTCATAAGAAAGACCTGAACAGTGGATTTCTCTGTTTTCATTATGTGATTCAGAAAATAATTTGCAAGTGTGTTTCTTCTAAAATTTCCCTTCTATGTGAAACAAACTGGAATGCTGGAATTCAGCTAAACATCTGATTGAATATTCTGTATTTCTGACATGTCTGCCTCATGTTATTGCCTTGGGTTGCAGTAGTGTTGCTGTGTTGTTGACGTAACCTGTTCTGAGACCTCTAATGTGATACGTGAATCTTCTGGTTCTGGGAAAACACCCAGGCTCTGTTGTTTATATGCAATGTAGCATATTGCATCTGTTAATTGGTTTTTAATTTCTGATAGCTGTGGTTTGTGGCCCCAAATTTAATAAAAGCTTGCAGGGAACAGGTTGATTATCTGCACTGCACACAGTCTAAATGATTCAGTGATGTCTGATTTAACCATGAATTAGTGGACCAAACAGGGGCATGTTTTTCCATAATTTCAGATTTTGCATCACCTTTTAATTATTCACTTACAGGTGTTGTTATGGTTTTCCTAGAAATTTGATTTAAATACATCAGTCATTTATATAGTGCTGTAGGAGCATATAATTAAAGATTTCACTGTTGAACAAAGTGATGATATTTAAGTCTAAGTCAATAATGGTAGATTAGTGGAGAGAATAAAGATGTGATGTGATACTGTTTATCTTGTTAAAATTGAATAATAAACTGGCAAAAAATGGGGGTAAGGAAAAAAATGGGTTTTTCTTAGTAATGACAATGTTAAAAAAAAGTAGCTGAAAGCTTTCCTTGTTTTCCAGAAGACTTAATGTTATTCACTATACACTACCAAGGTACATAATTCCTGCTCTCTGGATGATTGTTTATGTTCTCTTTGTTTTTCCTTTGTTCTGTTCCAGAGCTGTGGCAGCTTACCTGCGGGCGTTGAGTTTGAGCCCGAATCACGCAGTTGTGCACGGCAACCTTGCCTGTGTGTACTACGAGCAGGGCCTGATAGACCTGGCCATAGACACCTACAGGAGGGCCATTGAGCTCCAGCCCCACTTCCCTGACGCCTACTGCAACTTGGCCAATGCCTTGAAGGAGAAGGGCAGTGTAAGGAGCACTTCTTTCTTCTTAAAATTACAGTGAATGCTTTAATAGACACCAGCTGTCACCAGTTTGTTAAGCTGTTGAGCAAGTTGTTAAGATGGATGTTAACCTCACTAAAAAGGAAGAATAATTCAGGAAATCTCCATCTTGAACCTTTTAGAAGTGATTATATAATGGCTTTTCATAAACAGCGCTTTTACAATAAATGTTACAATATTAACAGTGCCTTTTTTTTGAAGGTGGTAGAAGCAGAAGAATGCTACAACACAGCCCTTCGACTTTGTCCCACTCATGCAGACTCACTCAACAATCTGGCAAACATCAAACGGGAGCAGGGCAATATTGAGGAAGCCGTGCGTCTTTATCGGAAGGCTCTTGAGGTACAGTTGAGTGTGAGGGGAAGAGGTGGGTGGTTCAGCTTGGGGATGTGTAATAGGACAGGTTTTTTTCCTCTCTCTCTAAAAAGAAAGTAAGAAAAGACAATAATAAATGCATAACTATTTTTGGTGTGGTCTGCTTGTGATGTTTGAGACAAAGTCAACTTCTTTTTCTTCCAGGTGTTTCCAGAGTTTGCTGCAGCGCATTCGAACTTAGCAAGTGTTCTGCAACAGCAGGGAAAGTTACAGGAAGCACTGATGCATTACAAAGAGGCTATTAGGTAAATGGATACTCCCTGTAAGAGTTCCAGCCTTTCCTAATGGGAAAGTGCCTAGATTTGTACAGAAGGTGACTTAGTCATGTGTTGTAATTTCTATAGTTGCTATTCAAATGGAAAAGTCTGGGTATGAGCATGTTTTCGCATTGGAGGAGGAGCTTTTCTTGTTCATGACATATTATGTTTATTTTTCAGAATCAGCCCCACATTTGCAGATGCTTATTCTAATATGGGAAACACTTTGAAGGAGATGCAGGATGTCCAAGGAGCTCTGCAGTGCTACACCCGTGCCATTCAGATAAACCCAGCTTTTGCTGATGCCCACAGCAACCTGGCCTCGATTCACAAGGTAGCGCATGCCAATGATTCACTCTTCTAAGAGTGTGGTGGGGCACTGTGAGTAGTTACCCTGAGGATATTTTTACCTGCTGACTCATTTCTGTATCTTCACAGGATTCAGGGAATATACCAGAAGCCATTGCCTCTTACCGTACTGCTCTGAAACTGAAACCTGATTTCCCAGATGCCTATTGCAACTTGGCCCACTGTTTGCAGGTGAGGAAGATGGGGCTTTGATTGTGATTCTTAGGGTTCCTCTGCCGGAGATTACTAATTTAAATGTAAAGACTTAGACGTTCTCACTTCCATTTTTGGAAGAAACATTAATCTCAACCTCTGAAATAACTGATACAGGCTGGGGGAAGCTGTTGTCATAATCTTTGGTTTTTCTTCTTTATAGATTGTGTGTGACTGGACAGACTATGATGAAAGAATGAAGAAGCTGGTTAGCATTGTAGCTGATCAGCTGGAGAAAAACAGACTGCCTTCTGTACACCCACATCATAGCATGCTGTATCCCCTATCTCACAGTTTTAGGAAGGCAATTGCTGAGAGACATGGAAATCTCTGTTTGGACAAGGTAGGAAGTTCTATACAGGCCAGTTGTTGATTGAAGTCCTTTGAGGCTTTGCTTGTTCCTACTCAAAACGTAATACTCAGATTTGTCAGTATTAGCCTTTGTAAGCTTTCTGAGTCACTGACATGTGAAGAGGTGGGAGGTAATGTTCATAGCTATTAGTGCTTGTGAGTTTTGAGGCAGACTACTAGTGCAGGTTGCTATTTATAATTGAAAATGTGCTGTCAGCTGGTGGGAGGGTCCAATTAATTAATGGAAGATAACACTTTGTCAGAGTGATTTGTCTGAGTAGCCTGATAATCCTGTCAGAGATAGTGGTTGCAAGCTGATGCCTGGGCAAGATGGAGAGCAAAGAACAGAACAAACGCTGTGATGCCTTACAGCAATGCTGTTCTGGTTACCAGTGGCTTGTGATTTGTGAACTTCCTGAGGATCATGTGTGGTATCAGGATATTTAATAATCAGGGTGGAATACTGAAGCTGTTAGAAAAGCAGAAATGTGGTAGTGATGTCTATATTTGTCTAAGAGCAGAGGCACCACATCTTGTGACACAGTGTGTGGGCACTGCACTTGGCTCCAGTGGAATACGTGGAACGCAGGTTTGGAACAGCAGATGTCCGTGACTGCTTGCTTGAATGTGGGATAAGGTTAATTCTGCAAACTCCTAGGGGGGGTTTGTCCCTTTGTTTAGATTTTAGTTCCTGAGTTTTTAAACACTTGTGTGTTTTCTTGGCAGATCAATGTTCTTCACAAGCCACCATATGAGCATCCCAAGGATTTGAAGGCCAGTGAAGGTCGACTTCGTATTGGTTATGTGAGCTCTGATTTTGGAAACCATCCAACCTCGCACCTAATGCAATCAATTCCAGGCATGCATAACCCAGACAAATTCGAGGTAAAAATAAAAATGGCATGCTTAAAGCTTTATACATGCCTATAAGTGGCATTTTTTGTCCCTTGGTGCAGGCAATTAAACAAGGAAAGAGCAAATTTTTGCTTCTTGGGTTTATTTTTTAATGGGTTGAAGAGTTCTTCAGCCTGAGTCATCCTCCTTCACCATATGAAGTGCTGTTTTCAGATACACTTGTGGTTTCCTACTTTGGAGAACCAGTCACTGTTAAAAAGCTTCCCTGAGGCTTAGTTTGTCTATTCAACCTGATTCATAGTTATGATTCTCACTAATTACAGTCAGAGGTGACTGGAAGGCATTCTTAGAGATCTAATTCTTATGCAGGCCTGTCTGTTAAGGTTACTTTGCCCTGCACTGATGAGAGCAGTGGATATGTCTGTGCAGGATGCAGTGCCATTCTCTGGCACAGAACTAGGCCTGGTTCAAATGTGTCAAAAAATGGCTGTGCCTCTTTCTTCTTTCTCAATTGGTAAATGCCGTGTAAATAACTGATTTGTGTGAAACTAGATGTAATTTAAATTTGCAATATAGCACAGTTATTTTGTGGACAATTGTCATAGATACTCACTTTTTGGTGCCTCATATTTTAGGTATTCTGTTATGCCCTGAGTCCTGATGATGGGACAAACTTCCGTGTAAAAGTGATGGCTGAAGCAAATCATTTCATTGACTTATCTCAGGTGAGCTTGTTTTATGCATTGACCTTTGAGCAAACCTGAATTTTTCTAAATGAAGAAAGAGATGAATCTGTAGTTTGAGATTCTTAGTTGCAATTATTTCTTGAATTAGACTGATTTTAACCTTGAGAATTTGAAATTTGTAGACTTATTGGCATTATGCCCTACCTGGGATGTGGTGGTTATCTTGTGACCTCTGATTATTAAAAAGTAACATCAGTATTTAATAACTCTCACATTAAGTCTCAAGATAAGTCATATTTAAATGTCATGGAGAAGTCAAGATGTCACAACTGAAAATACATTTAAGCTTGCTTTTGATTCAGTGTGAAAACTGACCAGGATTTCAGTGTACACAGAAGTCAAGGCAAAACCCTGTAGTGTAGTTAACTGGCTTATTCTTGATCTTCATTTTGATCTTCTATACCTTAGTTTGTGAATGTGCCACTTGCCCTATGTGAGCTTTAATTACTAATTAGCCTTAGAGGAGTGGGTGTGGGGGAAGATGTTCTGGTTTGTATAGCCTCAGTTTCTAGCCTTTAGCTTTTGCTTTACTGCTACTGAGCTCTACTCCTGCATTGAGGATTTATGCTTCTGTAAAACCAGGATTAACAAGATTTAAGTCTCACTTAAATCGAATTATGCAGTTGGCATCTGTCCAGTGTTACACTGATGACTAACCACACTTCTATACTGGAAGACTGAAAACAAAAAGAGCATGTATTTATGTATTTATTTCTTTATTCCTAGATACCATGTAATGGAAAAGCAGCAGACCGCATCCATCAGGACGGGATTCACATTCTCATTAATATGAATGGCTACACCAAAGGAGCCCGAAATGAATTGTTTGCCCTGAGACCAGCACCTATTCAGGTAACTAAGTTACAGGGCCCTTAGTAAACCAGAATCAATGTCAGAGTTTTTTGGGAGGGTTTTTTGACTAAGGATTTTCTAAAATTCCTATGGAAAGAGAATGAGAGGAAGCTTAATCAGAGTCATTCTAGACTGAAGGAGTTGTCTCAGGTGAGAGAAGCTGTAATCATTGGTGGTTGGCTTCAAGCTGCACATGGTAGGGAAAATTTTGCTTGAGAGATCAATTTTAGAGTATATTTGAGCTGTTCACTGTCTTGGTATGGAAAGTTTGGAGTTAGGGATTGATCTTCAATTGGTAAAGCAGAAAAAGGAACTTGAACCTGTATGTAACAAATGAAAATTGGTTTTTAACTGTCTTTATTTTTGCAATGCACATGGAACTGAAGCTTTGTTTTCCTGTTTTTTAGGCAATGTGGCTAGGGTATCCTGGAACCAGTGGGGCATTGTTCATGGATTATATCATCACAGATAAAGAAACTTCACCAGTTGAGGTGGCTGAGCAGTATTCAGAGAAATTAGCTTACATGCCAAACACTTTCTTTATTGGAGACCATGCCAACATGTTCCCCCATCTGAAGGTATGTTGGAAGATAGGGCAAGAGAAGTAGGTGTTTTCCATAGGTGTCTTTATGAAATGGCACTTGGTATAGTATTGGTGAGGGATCTTGTAACTTCTTGATATCTTTTCTTTTGACAGAAAAAAGCAGTCATTGATTTCAAGTCCAATGGTCATATTTATGATAACAGGATTGTTTTGAATGGCATTGACTTGAAGGCATTCCTGGACAGCCTTCCTGATGTCAAGATCGTTAAGGTGAGAGCTGCTCTTGTCTGTGTACAGTCCTGGGGACTGCAGGTGGAGCTCCCTCTGATCCCTGTGTGATTTATCTCAGATGAAGTGTCCTGACAGTTGTGACAACGCCGATGGCAATGCCGCCCTCAGCATGCCAGTGATCCCCATGAACACCATTGCAGAGGCTGTGATTGAGATGATAAATCGGGGGCAAATTCAGATTACTATCAATGGCTTCAACATCAGTAATGGATTAGCAACTACTCAGGTGAGGCACTTCAGGACACTCTTCTCTTGGTGTTTTTGTTGTATATGTATGTTTTCATATAGAACAATGAAGAAAAATCTCCAAATGTGTTTTCTGTCATGTTGATTCCTTTAGTTGTCATACTGAAGGAAGCTCATTATAAGCCACAGATGTACTGGAAGATGATCTTCCCCCCCCAAAGATAGAGGAATTGTATCTAGAGGTATCTAAAGTCCAAAGAAATTCTTTCTTGTTGCGTAAAGAAGATATTTGCTTGTTCTGAATTTGAAGGCAAGATTTCCTTATTGCCTGTAGCCTACCAAGATTTGTGACCTGTTACTCAGTGTCTTTCTGTTACTCACTGTTTTTCTGTTAGAAAAAAAAAAATTGCTGAGTAATAGACTAGAGGCAAAGTTATTCCACTGTACTTCAACAACATTTATTCATCTCCTTACACCTTTCAGAAGTTTGCACTGCATTAGCCCCTCAGTGCTTGACGCTTCATGGGATTTTATTGACAGTTACTGGTGGTGTTTTACCTTTTCTTCCAACTGCAGAACAGTTAGAAATGCCACATTCTGACGTTAGCATAACTTGTTGCAATGTGAATTTTATTCAGTTTATAGTCCCTCAGGAACCTCTTACATCATTTTGATATCTTTTATTACCACTGTTCTGTTCATAATCTCATAGCTTGGTTTATTTTTGAGTTCTTTTCTTCACAACTGAGACTCTTCTTTGAGTTGGTAATAGTTTGTCTTAGTTTGGTCAGTAAGGCTGTTAGCAATCTTTCTGAAGTTGTCATCTGAGAATTGTAGAGAATTCTTGTCTTAACATTCTAGCACTGAGATGAAACACTCAGCTCTGTCTGTGCACTACTAAAACAGGATTTCTGTCTTTCAGTGACACTAATATAGCACTTCTTTGTGCTGAGATCATCTGCTTTTGAGCATAGATCAACAAGAACTGAGCACTGTGTTTTTTGAGCTCTCAGTGACCTGAAAGAGTAGCATATTTACCAACTTCTGTTGAGCTGTTGTGCATCTTCTAACAGTCAGTGACAGTGAGTGCTTGTCATTCTCATCAAGTGTGTCATCAGTGGCTGGCTGCAATGCCACTGTAAATTTTTAATGAATATGTATATAAAAATACACATATATAAGGAAAAAGGCTCTAAGTAGCTGTGTTGCCCTCTCTGTTTATCTGGTTTTGATCCCATCATGGCATGTCATAAAAAAAAATTAAAAATCCTGCTTCCGTTTTACTAATCCTCAAGACTCTTGCATGGTAACTTGATTATTCTGACTTCATCCTCTGCTCTTTTTTATTAGCATTTTCCTATTCTTTGTGAAGGCTTTTTAAAAGTTTGTCATTAACTCTTCTTATTTTCAGCATTTTCATTATTTTCCTTGTCAACTGGTTCCTTACAGCCTTATCAGTTACATACAAGTCTGCTTCTATTGATTATCTGTTCTGTGCTTACTGTGTTCTATCTTAAAAAAGAAAAACACAAAAAACCCACACAAAAATAAACCATAAAAATCCAAACAAACCAAACCCCAGTTTTTCTTTCTAAATAGCTTTTTATTCTGTCTTTCAGTTTTAATTTCATTTTTGGTCTCAAGGAAATTACATGACCTTAAGGAGGACAGGATTCCATGTGTAATGCCTCTTTATATGATTCTTCTTTCCAATTATTCCAGTTACTTGGAATTTCGGGGAGATATAGGAAGGGCATGAAAGTGCCCAGTGTTTTTTGCCTTGGTGGTTGCAACATTGTGGCATCCACAAGCGTGTACACATACCAGTTAAATTCTTGCTGTGGGTAAGTAGACAATTTTGTTTTGTCTCATAAAACCAAAGATATTTTTACAGTAATTTGTTACGCTAACAAATGTGTCTCAGGACAATTCCACAGGGCATGGTCTTGTTTCCTGCAGTTTCAGTGTTTCAATACCTTTTTTTTTTTCTTTTTCTTTTAGATAAACAACAAAGCAGCAACTGGGGAAGAGGTTCCACGGACTATAATTGTTACTACCCGTTCTCAGTATGGCTTACCAGAGGATGCTGTTGTGTACTGTAACTTCAATCAGCTCTATAAGATTGATCCTTCCACCTTGCAGATGTGGGCTAATGTGAGTATCTGTATCCAGTAGGAAATCCAAGGTCAGACTTCTGGCAAAGCTGTTCAGGTTAGCAGAAACTTCATGCAAGTTAACTTTTCTGTGGAAAATATTGACTTTAGGCCATTTGAATCCTTAAGTGCTCAAGTTGCAGGACTTAGTGTTAGTAGCATAATAGAGGGTTTTAGATGTATTTCAAATTATAGGCAAAGCTGTTCAGGTTAGCAGAAACTTCATGCAAGTTAACTTCTCTGTGGAAAACATTGACTTTGGGCCGTTTGAATCCTTACAGTGCTCAAGTTGCAGGACTTAGTAGCATATAGAGGGTTTTAGATGTATTATATCTGTGTATCTAGCCAGTGAAAATTTATGTGTTTGGGACAGCTTAAGTATACTGGTTGTCCATTGTGGAATAATTTTGGATTTCCTTAGTTTCTGCAATTGAGTTATAACTGGTCTTGGCAGTTGGTACATTGATAAATCTGAGTGGAGAGCATTTGTATCAGATTCCAACTTACAGTGTATTGTATAAATGAGATCATCAAGTTCAGTACTTTTCTCTTAAGGCACTGCTCTGTACACTGTTGCTCAGAGTTGCTGTCTCTTTATGTGGGATCAGAAATGCAATCCCAGTGCTCTCATTCATAATGATGATCTCTTTAATTTCTGCTCTATACCTCAAAGAATGATGATGCCTTCCACTCCATTTTAGTATGTGGCAATTTCTTGCTCAGAAAAGTAAATGTTCCTCTCTGAAGTTCCTGTATTTTCTTCTTATTTTTGTTGCAGATCCTAAAAAGAGTTCCCAACAGTGTGCTGTGGCTGCTACGTTTCCCAGCTGTAGGAGAGCCCAACATCCAGCAGTATGCACAAAACCTGGGTCTTGCCCAAAACCGAATCATCTTTTCACCTGTTGCCCCCAAAGAAGAGCATGTGAGGAGAGGGCAGTTGGCTGATGTTTGTCTGGACACTCCCCTTTGCAATGGGCACACAACTGGCATGGATGTGCTCTGGGCTGGGACTCCAATGGTCACTATGCCAGGTAATGCAGAGGGGAGCCTACACTGAATACATGGGTTGGAATACTATACTAACCTTTTAGTAACAGCAAACACATCAAACTGTGCCTTTTATAGAGGCAGAAGGGAAGTAACTTCTGGTGTGTGATAAGTTACTTGATAAATTCATTCCTGGTTGTTTTTGTTGGTTTTGATTTGCCTTTTATTTTCTTTTCTTCAGGGGAGACTCTTGCCTCACGAGTTGCTGCCTCACAGCTCACTTGCCTGGGTTGTCTTGAGCTCATTGCAAAAAGCAGACAGGAGTATGAGGATATTGCTGTGAAACTGGGAACTGACCTGGAATAGTAAGCAAACTTGGATTCTGGAATGTGGGAACATCAAGAATGCAGAGTACTGTGTTGAAGCACAGTGCTGAGACATCAGTAGTTTTAATCCTGCAGATGTTTTATATGTCAGATAGCTGGGCAATCCTCTTCTAGAGGTGTCTTGTGTTGCAGTTGAGTCAGCTTCTGCTTTTATGGTAACTTAACAGCACTCCCAGTTAAATAACAATTCTGAATAAACTGCTTATGTGCAAAAGCGCAATACAGTTCACATTTTGTTCTTTTTAAATGGAAGATCAAGCAGTTTGTCACTTCAAATTAAAATAATGCTGTGAAATGTTACTGCACTACAGATAATGCAGCAAGTTAATGTTGCAGCTCTTCTGATTTGAAGTGGTCGTGCTGGTCTGTATCAGAAATGAGAGGAGATGGAAGAGGAATTTGGTGAAGGTGGGGGAGCAGGTGTTTTTGAAACAGTTGTACAGGCAGTTCTGGGTTAGCTGAAGGCAGCAGGTTTCAGGGGTAAACAGTATGATGTGTTGTTTGCAACATCTCATGACTGCTTTAACTCTCTTTCGTAGCCTGAAAAAAATCCGTGGCAAAGTCTGGAAGCAGAGAATATCCAGCCCTCTGTTCAACACGAAGCAGTACACCATGGACCTGGAGCGGCTGTACCTGCAGATGTGGGATCACTGCGCTGCGGGCAACAAGCCCGACCACATGATCAAACCCGTGGAGGCCAGCGAGTCTGCATGAGGAGAGACTGGCCTGCCCTCCAGGAACTCTCCAGGAACTGAGCCTCTCCAACACTTGTGCAGAGATGATGAGCTAAAAACTGTGCATTTCTACTTAATCTGCCTGGTACTCTGTGGCTGAAGTAATACATGATGGTGATTAAAGCACAGCCAGACTTATTTCTTGCATGATAGGGAAAGACTCAATAGAGCCTGGGATCCTTTTATTCCATGAGGAATTTGAATGGGATTGAGCCGTGTACATGTGAGCCTGTGTGTATGAGTGACAAAGTGGTTGCTGGGGGAAGTTTGAACTGCCCAACAAGTTTATGATATCATGGATTGATTTAATCTTCCTACAAACCTCTCTCCTTTTATGTGGATTGGGAATTGGAGCGTTTTAACATTTGATTTTGGGTACTCCTGTTGGTATATATGTGGTTCTCCCATGACAAGATTTCCAGCTAGCGAGTTGCTCCCCGTGTTAATTTCTAAACTGCGTGGACTGAAAGGGCGTATGTGCTGGTGTAGTCTTTTTTTATAGGTTTTATAAACCACTTGAGCCTATATCAGCCTTTTAATGTTTGACCTCTGTTTTGGAGCTCTCTCTGTAATGTGTTGGTTAAGACAAGGACTTTTGTTTGTTTTGTTTTGTTTTGTTTTTTAAGCTTCTCCAATAATTCAGCTAATTGGCTTCATGATGGCAGCTCCTATTCTGTTAAAAAACCAAATTTGATTTGAAATTAATCCCTCCCACAAGTGTTTGAGGTGAACACAAACTGGTGCCAAATACAGATCTTTCAGGAATGATTGTTAATTATGTATAGGGGTGCAGTCCTAGGTACTGTAGCAAAGACTTTAAAAAAAAAAAAAATAAAGCTTTGGTTTGCCAGTTTGACTGATTTGACCGGTGTGTCACGTTTTGTGCTGCTGTCAGCGAGGAAACCCTGCTGGCTTTGTACTCTGGCTTTGTGTGGCGTTTTGAGGAGCTCTGGGCAGAAATGGAGTTCGGGTACGAGCGGGGCCGGGCGCGCCGCCGGCGCCGTGCGTGTGCGCATGCGCGCTGCCCCGGAAGCGCGGGCCGTTCGAGCGCCATGGCGGGGCGCGGCCGGGCGGGCAGCGCCGCCGGGGCACGGCGGGCACCCAGCGGGGCAGCGGCCTCGGCCGGGAGGAGCCCCGAGAGAGCCGCCGCGGGGAGCCAGGGCTGGCGGAGCGGCAGGTGAGGGGGCACCGGGGGAACAGCGCCTCAGCCCGCGTGTCCTGACGTATTTTTGTTAAATTATTTACATAGAGAGTTCTTAAATGTATAGCTATTTATATATGTATACATACACATGTATACATCTGTATGTGCATATGTATGCATGTATGTGCATATATATACACATATAATGCGTGTGTGTATATATACACACGACATACTGCATTGCATGTAGTACGTATTATGATATCGATTTATAACTCTGGATTAACCCTCGGTTGTTCTATGGTGATTGGTAGGTATTAGCGTGTTTCAGAATTGCAATCTTTAAGGTTTAAGGAACGTCCATTTTAAAGAAACTGTCTTCCTGGTTTTTTAAGCAGCTGCATCACGTATTTTTGAATGTTTGGTTCATGTGCTTCTAAACTTCTAATATGAAATAAATGACTTGGTAAGGGTGTTGTGGGCTGCCTCTACATTTCCATGGGCATAGCAGTCCAGGTGGTAATGCCTCCATTCTGCTTCTTGAAATAGCTGTATGACAGCTGCTGCATATTGCTAAATATTCATGGCTGCTCTATTAAAGTGCACTTTATGCAAAAGCAGCTTCTTACTCATCAGTGCCTGGGTTGAGGTTTCAGGCTTACCATAACCCACTTTTCTGACAGATCACAGACCACGTGTAAGACAAGAAATGAGCTCTCTATAAAGAGTTAAAATAATTCAGCCTATTTGGGACATCCAGTGTTTTTCCCAGTATATGTTTGGTTCTCACTGTTCATGCTTGTTTCACACCAGTGGAGATGCAGATCCTGCTGTGATCTAAAGTTCTGCATTTCATTTTTGCAGCAGTGCCCTGTACTTCTCTTCCAGCAGCGATGACGAATTTGAAATGTGTAAGTAATGACACAATTTGTGTTATGCAGAAGTATGAAAAGGACACATTTCTGTCTGACTAATTCTGTCTAATGTGTGAAGCATTTTACACGTTACTTTCTTTCATTGCTTGTGCTGCACAGTAATTCTCTCCTTGCAGTGCAGTCCTGGTGTCAGTCCCACAGGGAGTGTTCTTGAATTGCCTCAAGTTGCACTCTTTTTGCCTTGCATTATATTTTTCTTACTGCCTCAGTTTTGTCTGTTCCCTGTCACTCACTTGCTTCCTTTTTAGTCTCCAGAGACTAGAAAGCTGCTCCCAGCTTTGAGGAATTGAGAGTTAGAATTCTATGTAAATATAATTCATTTGTTTTTTGAAAATTCTTTAGACCAAATTTTTGCTAGTTGCAAACTTTAAAAATGCATAACAAGAGACACAGAACCTTGTTCTTAATTAATCTTCTTTTGTTTCAGTTTTAGCTAGACTGAAAACTCCCAAATCTGTTTCTAAAAAGGCAGATTCAAGGTAGGTGCTGTCATTAATGAATTTTCTGTGTTCACATTTAGTATTCTGTGTAATATTTACATTTTATATATTTAATCAGAATAGAGGAAAACAATCTGAATTTGTATTGATTCATGTGCCAGTCTAGGAGAGAGTGCAGACAGACCTGTTCCATCTTCAGTCGTGTTCAGGGCAAATGTAAAACGGGATATTTGAATGTTCTTGTCATTCCTATTCATGGATGCAGTGGGTGACATTGGCTGTGAGCAGCTGATAATGTTATATTGGGTGGCTTTTTTTGGGTTGCTGTTTTAGTAAGGCAAACTTACTGCTCTGTTTTTCTGCTTACTCCTACCTTTATTCCACACAATTTGCCTTTTTTTTCTTTACAGTTTGAAAGACTTCATTGATGACTCGGATGATTTCTTCTTGGACTTGAAGGTGAAAAAGAGTACAACCAAGAGGGGTAAGGAATCATCTATAATAAAGAAAGTGATAGGAAAACACAAAGAACAGTAAAGCATCTTATCTTTCAAGGGATTTGTTCTGTGTTAAGACAAAGGCAGGTCTCCTAAATGCATCCCCCAAAACTTCAAGCTCTTTCTTTTGAATTGCAGCACAGAAAGATCTTCAGACCCCAAGAAAGCTGATGACTCCTGGAAAGAGGAGCACCTGCTGCCAAGAATTGCAGTATCCAGACACTTCAAGTGACATTGAAGATTCTGTCTTTGTAGACAGTCCCTGGCCTAACCACCAAAAAGAGGGAGTGAAAGACTTGAGAGAGGGTCAGAAGTGCAGAAATCTTTCACCTCCACAAAATCGGAAAGAGTCAGATTTCAAAGGCAGTCCAGATTTTCTTGTTAGAAGGAAAGAAAGAAGCTGTGAAAATACAGAAAATAAATTGCCAGCTGTGGCACTAGGGCGTGGTGCAGGGGTGGAATCAGAGAGCTCAGATGAGAGTTTTGGATCTTTAATGGAACGGATAAAGAAGCGAAGTCTGCCCCGCAAACCGGCCCTAAGCACGAGTAAAAGTGTCTTTCAGCCAAGCACGACAGGTGAGCAGTCCTGAGCTAACTAATTGCCTAGTTCTTTCCAATTGTGTGGCATCAACCTCTGAGGTGCAGCCCAGCACCTTGAAAAGGAACTTGGTGCAATGAAAAATGACTCCTCTGGGCATTCAGAGAAGCCATCTTGTGCTGTCAAGATGTAAGTGTTTCACTGTTGCTTGTTTTTATCATTGTAGGCAATTTTTGTTTTTAAAATTATTCTGAAAGCAAAGCTGGTGGATCCTTCTGGTTTCTAATGATTCTGTGATTTCTTTTTTTAATGTATGCTGTGTAATCCTATGACTCTTCCTGTTGAACTAGAAAACAGCAAGCCACCCTGCAAAGATGCTCGGCCTGTGAAAGGGGAGGGAGTCAAGACACCAAAGCCAAAATCCATTTCACTTCAAGAAACACCTTCCCTGATAACGACTCCTGCAAGAATTCCTGGGAATGAATCAATCAGTTGCTCACAGTCAGCAAAGACAGAGAAAAGGTGAGTGTTTCTCCATCGTTCCTGTGTTCTAGGACAATTACAGATGCACAAAGAGATGCTAAGCATTTTGCATAGGATGATGTGATTCCTCTGCTACCTAGAAACTTCTACTAATTCAGCATTTGTTAATGGTTGCATAGCTGGAAAACAGAATTTTCAGTCTCCAGTAACAGGAGGAATACAAACTGATCTCTGCCTGGGGGAATTGATGACAAATGAATGACAAATGTCAAATCTTCTTTGTAAATGTTATCTTCCTTGCTATTCCTTGTCTTGTACAGCATGTGGTGGCTCTACAGGTTGTACATATCCAGCTGCTTACCTCTGAAAAGATGCCAAAACTGATTCTGTTAGTAATTCATACCTTTTAAACAAGAGTATATTGATTGGTTTTTAATCTGTAACCTTAGAACTTGGAGAATTCATGTTTCTTTTTCTATATGTGGTTGCAGCTTAGGCTTTTCAAAAGAATGCATTTTTCATTTCCAATAGCTGCCCTTGTCATGCCTCCTAGCCATGTGCTGTTTCCTTTAATCATTTTATAGTGGTGTATTCAATACCAATCCTTTAAATGATATCTTTAAAGGTGAGACTTTAAAAGGTCAGAATGCTGCAGCATTGGAGTTAGTAATCCTGGTGGAGTATCTGCTTCCCCTGAAATGATTTCTGAGCATTCCTGGACTATCTTTTTCTTTTTCTGAAAACACACCTTTATTGTGATGATCATGTAAGGGCTTTTCATATATTGATTAAATTTTGGTATAGTTGTGGCTCACTGTGTCACAAAATCTGAGTCTCTTTTCCTACTTAGGAGTCCTCATAATCTAATTTTGTGAATTAATGAAGTAACTGCAGGACTGTTGCAACAGCTCTGCCCCTTTCATGCCCTCAAAGGGGTAAGAGGACAGCCATGGCCTCATGAGGGCAAGCTGGTGCAAAGAGGCAGGAGAGGTTTATGCCACTTGAAGCATCCCTGAGATCTTTATTGGCTTTCAAGTGGCCATTATTATTTCCTGTGTTTTTCCATATCTCTGTACTTCAGCAAACTGCTTAATGGCTTTTCTTGCAGGCTCAGGGTATGTACAGTGCCTGGTTGTTTCTTGCAAGATCTTTCAAATCCAGCCTCCCACTATGTGAAGTATTTCAAGAAAAATAAAGAGGAGCTGGCCCAGAAGCTCTACAGGCTGTTTAATAGTACTATCTTTGAGCAGAAGGTTGGTTTCAAAACAAGAACTATCATTCTAAAATGCTGGTTAATATGTTGCTCCTCACTTTTTGATGTGATTGCTCTTTATCCTCTTCAGACTGTACAAGTTAAGCTTTATAGCAATGGGTTTAAATTAATCCAGGCAAGTACTTCAAAAGGGGTTTGTCCCCACTGTGATGCAGCACTTTTCAGCTTGGCTTTGCTTTCCCAGCTGTAATGGAAATGCTGCCCATAATCTGTGTTCCTTCCTATTGGATGTTCATGTTTCCCTTTCTGGAACACATCAAAAAGGTCTTCTTTCAAATAACAGTTTAGGGTGAGCATAAAACTACAAGCTGTGTTTCAAATTTAAGGTTCAGTTTCGGAGAACTGCTGTCTTGACCTGGGATCATCATCTGGGATATTGGGGACCCTCCTCTGCTTAGAAATGTCCTTGAAAGGAAGGGTACTGCCCTCAGTAATTCCAATGGGATTTCCCCCAGGAAAGAAAGTGGTTTTTATGCAGATGAGAAAATAGTGTTGAGCTGACAGGCTGAGGTCATGATTTCGCATAAAACTGAACTGAACAGACTCGCTGTTGCTGGAGCAGATTATCTTACTGCCCAGTGCTTCAGCCCTGTACCTGGAGGTACTTGGAGGTAGAACAGAGGAACTAAGGACTTCTGTGTCACCCTGCACTGGGAAACTCTCATTGCTGGTTACAGAAAAACTGATGGTGGGAATAAGAGGCCATGGAGGGGATTGGCATCTTAAGTGTTGAGGACACCAACAGAAACATCCTGGACTGGCTTTGCACTAAATACAAGGGGAAGCCAGAGGGCCAGAAGGTAGGAGAGGGCAGACTACATGCACTGCTTTGTTTTTCAGTTACCAGAGGACATGGTAATAACCTGGAATAAGAAAATGAGGAAAACAGCAGGGTATTGTGTAACGGGGCAGAGGGGAGGCCCTGAAGGGAAGCGTTACGCTCGCATTGAACTCTCTGAGAAAGTCTGTGACTCTGCAGGTAGGTCAAAGAAAGGGTGTGTTGATTCCTCTTTGAGGAAGCAAGTTTTAGAGACAAAAACATAAATCTGATGCTTAAGAGATCTGGAACTGGAGCCTGCTTCAAAATTTTGTATTATCTTGTATAAACAAATAAATACATGTATGGATTTATCCACATTCCACAGCCCTTCTGAGAGGCTGGGAAAATGTACAAATTGTGGTGAGGATAGAGATGTAGTCACACTAACTGCAGTATTGTTTATATTTCTTAATGATTTGAAGACCTACAGGCTAGGTGTTAGACTCGAATTCTGTGTTATAATGCAGTCTAAAATCTGACTTCTTCCATCACAGCAAGACACCTTGTTGGTAGTGTTTAAAGCTGGAATAAAGACAGGTCAGTGCCAAAGTAAGTTCTGTTATGTGGTACTGTGATTGTAATTTCTCCCTCATTCCCTCCTGATACGGGAAAATGAATGATAAAATGGTTTGGATTGAAAGGGATCTTAAAAACCATCTTGTACCAAACTCCCTGCCATGGGCAGGGACACCTTGCACTAGAACAGGTTTCTCCAAGCCCTGCCTAACCTGGCCTTAAACACTTGCATGGCTTTACCAACCAAACAAAAAGCCTCAAACAGGTGAGGTGTGTGGGGGAGTAACTAGGATGCAGAATTGGAGCTGATCAAAAACTGGAAATGCATTAATAAGTAAGTTGTTTTGGAGCTTTTTATCTTACCAAGACATTGGTAGTTTTAACCTTCAGAATAATACCTGTATCTTAATACAGAGTGAGTGTAGAGGCCTAAAGCAGTGACCAAAGGTGAACTTGTTCTTCTCCACAGCTCACTGATGTTTGTCTTTGTTTGCTTTCCCTCGAGATCGCCTTCGGGACACGCTGATCCACGAGGTTTGCCACGCAGCCACCTGGCTCATCAGCGGCGTTCGGGACGGACACGGGCGCTTCTGGAGGTTCTATGCCAACAAATCAGCTGTAATTCATCCAGAACTGCCAGTGGTGACACGGTGCCACAGCTATGAGATTAATTACAAATTCACCTACGAGTGTGTTCGGTGCAAAGCTACGTGAGTAATGTTTTTGTCTTGCACATGGCTGCCTATTAACTTTCTGACTTGTCACTCTCCTGTGTCTAGAAATCAGGGTTCTCTGAAATACTAAAGCAATTTGGATATTCTGGTGTTTTCCAGAGCCCACAGAACCTCAGTATGTGATTCCACATTTGTTTCCAGATGGTTTCAGTTCTTGTTCAGAGGTCAGGACAGGCAGAAACATCATCTGAGGACGAGTGGTGATGAAGGAAGGTCTTTGGGAAGCAGTAAAGAGATACATACCTAAGGTTTGAAGGAACAAATCCCCATAAAAGCTGGGCACAGAATATTTGACAGTGATTAGATACTAGATAAAACTACCAGAGGAAGCTTCCTGATGAATTTAAATTACAGTTGCAACCTCACAGATGTGAGCTGCACTGTGATGGGAAGGATTGACACTAGGACACAACCTGTAATAATGACACTATTTGTGGCTTTTTTTTTAACCTCAGGATTGTATGTGTGACTCCCAGAAGTACTGGAAGGAAACACCTCACATACCCCAAAGTGTTTATTAGGACTATGCAATGCAGTAGTTGCTTATATGCAACAGAACATTGAGAAGATTTTTTTTTTTAGTGATGTCTTTGAAGAGAAACTCCAAGAGGCAGTTGATACCTGGGTTGTGGAGGTAGTTGAAAATGTTGTAGCACTTCATACTCATAGTCTGAGAGTAGAAGAGACAGAGGAAGGAACCAAGCTGAAAAACAGTGGAAAAAATACGAGGGTAGAGAAGCGTAGCACAGATTGATTGTTCCACTGTGTAATGTACTGTTCCCTATTCTCAAATACTGCCTTAGACATGTGACCTGAGCAGCAGAGAAAGGCCCTTTCCCACGAGCCTGTGGAATCCAAGTCCTCGTTCTTGCCTTTCAGGATCGGGCGGCACTCGCGCTCCCTGGACACGGCGCGGTTCGTGTGCGCCTTCTGCGGGGGGCAGCTGGCCCTCAGGCAGCCCCCGGGCAGGGGGGGCACCCCTGCCAGGACACAGCTCACGCCCTTTGCCAAGTATGTGAAGGAAAACTATGCACTTGCTAAGAGAGAGCAGCATGGGCTGAGTCATGCAGAGGTCATGAAGAAACTCAGTGCTGATTTTGCTGTGAAAACCAAGCTGGAAGATTCCTTCTAATATCTCAATACACCTCCTTTCTTGGTGCTACTTAAATTTTTTATAGAGAGTGGTAAAAGTTCTGAGCAGCACTAACACATAGCATGTCTTCAGTGACTCCAGTAAGGGATTTACTGTTTCATCTGGGCAGCTGATATGCTGTAGACTCTGTGTGTGTGCTGAAGAACTGCTCCCTGCAATTGCCAGAGGCAGGAAAAGGAGCATACCTGAGATGGGCTTCAATATGGGCTCAGATATTCTCCTGTGTAGACTTTCCTGAGAAATCCTTGGCTGGTTTTGTTAAAATTAAGTGGTAGGTAGAAAGCCAGCCCTTTAACCCTCAGTAAGTAGTGTACCTCTATCATAGAGATTTCATAGAAACTAAAATAGATGCAGAAGGTCAGGTTGGGGAAAGCAGATTCAAACACTTTCCCCAAGGATGAGTAGGTCTTGTCATGGCTTAAGTCTTTCCTATGAAATGCAACTGGATGTGTGTTATAGTGTTTGTGTCTTCTGTAAGCAAATTGCTCAGGGGCTTAATAATTTTGATAATCAGTAAATGCCAGTTTGATAAAAACTCTTGCAATAAATGAGGCTGCTTTGTTTCAATTTAATCATGGCTGTGTAGGAATACAGAACCCTGGTACCAGCCCAGCTCTCCTGGCTGTGGGTCAGCACAGTCATTAACATCCTTTGGTCACTGGGATTACAATCCAAGGATCCCCATTCCACGAGGCCCAGGGCTGCTGGCTCATCTCCCAGGAGCCCTCAAGAAGCCTGGGGTCACTGAGGCACCACCCTCCCTTCTCCAGCATCATGAAGGTAAAGGAGCATTGGAACTAGAAACCAACAGTAAAAACAACGGCACAAAACCACTGACCATTCAAAAACTGATTAATTACTATTCACAGCACTCCTAAGGAAAAAGAAAACAGAAGTGAGCAATATACTTCAAGGAAGTTCTACTCTTAGGGGATTTGCCAGTAGAAATGTAGCAAGATTGAAAAGTCAAGTCTGACAAAGCAGTGGGGTTATGGGGTTCCACATCTGACAGCACTTTACAGCTGCTAATCAGTACTGGCTGTCACTGGCCTCTGCCTCAGCTCTGTCACTAACTGTCCCATCCTCTGCTCACACGAGACAGATTGACATGGCAGAACACAGATGAGGATGTACATGATGGGGGATACTGTGAAATACAACAGCAGGTACATTTAAAGGGATTGATTCAACAACAGCTATTTCATTCCAGTCTTAGGAAATTTCTGCAGTTAAGTTCAGCATGGAAGAATGTCAGACTCGTATATCCATGAGTTCTCTGCCCAGCATCTTAACCTTCTTCCCTCTGAGAAGGAACCACCATCCCCTCACTGAGCCAGCAGAAACAGTTCATTTTCTAGAGAACCTCAGTGCTGGGCACACACCAGCATTACATGGAGTAAGAGAATACAAACTGACCAAAAAATGCAGGCACTGGCACTTGGTAGCATTCATTTAATTTTTACTCCCAACAGCTCTAGCTTTGGAATTGTTTATTTGGTTTGACATATGCTGAACACAGATCCTCTGTCAAAGATCTTCCAGGTCTGTTCCCAAGCTTCCCTCCCACCTCCTACCTGCTTGGGTGAATGACCAGTGATCCAGAACATTACTAGGTATAAGATCATGGTCAACTGAAGCTACTAAGAGAAGGCAGAAGTTGGCAGCATGAGATATGACACCAGGGACACACTTTTCCCCTCTAACCCTCCTGTTCCAGGCTCCTGGAATACATGTAAAGCAGTAGGACTTGTGTCAAAACAGAGGGAGAAACAACAGGTTCTCTAGGTGTGTGCTCTCCAGAACAGGAGTCTTCAGGTGCTGCCCAGCCCCACCACTGAGCCAGAGGTGCAGCAACTGCAGACACAGCATTGCTTTGCACCAAGCTGGGGCAGGTAAAGTCCTGATCCTGGAGCTGTGCTCTTTGCTGCAAGACAAGAGGCACAGCCAGTACCTCCACTGAGGCAATGTAGGGCCACCCTTCAGCCTGGAGTAGTTCTTGAAGATTTTTTTGTGTCACTTTCCTGAAGGGTCTGCATTTCCTCCTCACTCTAAAGCAGCAAGTTCCTCCAGCAGCTGCTCCTTCTCCTGCTGCAGCTCCTGCATGCGCTGTTTGTTCTGCTCCAGTCTGTCCTCAAGCCACTGCAGCAGGGGCCCACTGATGGCAGACATTTGGCTGCAGAGGTTCTTTGTGAACACTGCAGAGAGCAACAAGACATCATGCCAGGACAGCACACAAAAGACTCGGTGTGCTACAACACCCCCAAAGCCAACAGACAGCCAAGGAAACCCTCCAGCATCCTGGGCAACCACACATCTGCACAGGAAGGTCAGAACCAGCAGCTTCTAACAGGGAAACACCATTCCAGTGTGACCCAGGCAGGGATGACAGATCCACAGTGAAAATCTGCACACAGCTAATCACTGATGCTAATTAATTTCTAAATTTAGAAGCATCACAGAATGCCTCATTTCCTAAACATGTGAGGATGGACAATGGGGTGATAAAACTTGGAACAGAAGTGGGATTAGGATTCACCCCCATCACAGTGGCAAAAGGGAAGATGTCACATCCATGTAACACCTATGAAGTGCCAGGAGATGGAAGTGTGCATACAGGTCAGACAGGCACTATTTTTACACTCAACAAATCCCAAATCCCCTTTCCTGTTCCAACAGAAAAATTAACCTGAACAAACCAAGCCCCAAAATCCCAAAAAGCCCCGAAGTCTTCTATAATTTTAACAATTTATACAAAGCCTGAAGGATACAACATTCATGATTCACCCAGGATGAGGGTGTTCTACAGCCTCTGAAGTTTTCAAGTTCCTAGTTATAATTCTGTTCCTCTGTAACAAGATTCCACCATTTTGACCCTGGGAGCAGCACCCTGGATTGTCACATGCAAGAAAGGAATCCTTACCTGAGCCATTATGGATCTTGGTTACAGAGTCAAGATGGGTGAGGCTAAGGGAAGGAAAGGAAAGCAGGTTAGAGACAAGACAGCAGAGAAGTGTGTGTTAAACCCCAGCTGCCCACGAATCACTAAGCAGACCACAGGCACACCTAAACCTCTGCACCTGCTGGAGCCCTGCACATTCACAAGGACAACAACCCCTGATCACAAAACCCCAGACTTCTGCTGCTAACCCCAGGGCCAGTTCTACAGACTTCAGAAAGTTCTACAGAGGCACAGGAGCTGCTAATCCTTCATTTCTACAGCTTTGCTAAGGCTTTGTTAGTCTTAAGTACAGCAAGAGTAGAACATGCCAGCAAAGACAGCCTTGGCGAGGGGCAGGGCCCCAGGCTTTACCTGTGAATTCTCCTGTAGGCATCCTGCTCTTCTTGGCACAGGATCTTGGGCAGCTCCACAGCTGACTCCAGACACACCTTCCCAATGGTTTCATGGGGGACAACATGAATGGGAATTTCAATCCTGTCGTATCTACAAGGGTATGAGACATAATTAAAAGCAGCAAACAAAAACCTGACTTCTACAACCTTGCAACAGTCTGGCCAAGGCCTGGCAGTGCTGCACATCCACTTTTGGGAACACATGCCTGAGCTGACAGGCAAAGGGAAGCATTTTATATCCACATACTTGTCTTGAATTTTAATTGTTTAAGGTGCAAACCTGAGGGCTTGACCTCTAGAGCTGGAAGCAAAAAGGTGGTGCTGCTACACACCAAATTGCAGCATAAATCCCCACCCTGACCTCAAATCTTAAGAGAATAAATATCTAGGCTAAAAGAATCACTCCTAATCTTTAGATTCTCTTCCAGCAGTCTGCAGGAGCAGAAGTCAGGAGACCCTGTGCAGGCAGCTCTGTATGTTTGCTCCTCACAACAGGCTGAGAAGTCATTAGAGACAAGCCAGAGAAAGGAGCCAAGACAAAATACAATCAGATATAATATTCTTCTGTACTCACTCTGAGCTCTTCTGGGCCTGAACAGACTGGAAACAAGTATAGAGAATTCTACCTGTCTAAGAGAGACAGCAGAAAGTCAAATTCCAAAGGCAAAAAACATCTAAAAGGCAAAGACACCTTCCTTTAGGAAGCTTTTAATATAATTCCAGAGGTTTTGCTGTGATTTGCTTGCTGGAGATGCTTAAAAGCATACATTGATAAACTTTAATGATAAAAATCTTCAGCAGTTGCCTGGACAGCCTAGACCTGACAGCTTATCTCACACGACAGCCACACCTCCTGGAGAGGCTGGAAGAGGGGCAGAGCTGTGTGTGCTGGGTGCACACCTGAGGGAAGAGCCCTGGCCCATTCAGGCACACTCTGCAGCTGCTGCTGCAGCCCCCGGGGCAGCTCAGAGCAATCACCACTTGTTCTCCTGCCCTTGGAATCACAATCCACACCACTCCCACTGTGCTTCCCACGTGCTCCCAGCACAGCTGTGCCCTTCTTGCAGGCTGCACCCAAGGACTTCAGCTCTGCCCTGCTGTTTCTCATGAGCCCCTGGAGGGTTTGATGCCATTTTTAAGTTGCCTACCTTGGTGTTCTTGTCCTCAATGAAGCAGGAAAAGATGAGCCCTACAAAGCCTTGGTCCATCATCTGATACATGGCCTGTGTGCGGACATCTGCAGGGACAGAAGTGAGAGTGAGAGCTGCCCTGTCACCTGCAGGACTGGGAAATGATCTGCAATTTGGTAACAAAGGTCACAAACTTTAGGTTTACATCCTCACTCTGGGTGACTTGAGTTCAAATACAGAACTTGATCCAATTTAAAATGTAAATAGAAATCTTAAAAATTGAAGATGAGCTCACAAAACCAAGAAATTGTCTTACAGCCAGCCTGCTGCCACAGGCCCCCATGAAGTCCAACACATGTAAAGTACTCAGGTACTTCTTTTATGAGAGTTTTTAGCTATGCATTAACACTCCCAGGTATCAGAACTCATCATGGCAGGCCCAGGATCCCCACAGCTTTTTTTGCTACTCCCCACACCCAAGGTCTGGTTTTTCCCTCTGGAAGAACAGCAGTACCAGCAGCAGCTGATCTGTGACTCCTGGGCTACGTCTGAGTCCTTGGAGAGCACACACAGGAATGGGGCTGCACTGGCAGGGCCCCTGCAGCCCCCCAGACCATCAGGGAATGTTCAGACTCAAGCTGCTCTTACCCACGTGCGAGGGCCACACGGTGATGTGGGGGTGGGAGTGGTACCAGCCCACCACCCTCATGGGACGTCCTGTCATCTCTGCCAACCTGTGTGGGGGTCAAGGAGCTTTTGGAACAACAGACAGCGGGAAGGGCTGCATGCACGAGGGAAAACAGCAGCGTTTTAAAGGGTTTGCTATGAGGCAACAGAATTCCAGATCCCTTTGGAGGAGTGATGAGAAACAGTGCAGGGAGGGATGCCTGATGGGAGCCTCTTCCCCAGCACCATCAGCAGTCACTGCTGCAGAAGCAAACTGGATTTTGGTTGCATGTGGCAACAAACAACATTTCAGCAGCTGTCCAAATCAGCATCCCTGAGTGTGTGCAGAGCAGAGGCTCCCCAGTGCAGCCCCCGGAGCCTTGCTGCCCTTTCCCCTTCCACTCAGCCTCCCTGCTGAACTGCCACCCCTTCCACAAACACACTGCAGCTTTACCTGTGACCAAATACAAAACAATGACAAATTTATAACACAGTGCTGCAGCAGGGAGCAGCTGACAGCTCCAAGCCCACTGCAGGCCTGCACCCAGCCCATGGGAGGTACAGCACTTCAGCGGCGAGCCTGCTGCTGCCTCTGCTCAAGGATATCTCTGCTTCAGTGGAAGCGGCAGAGAGCTGCTCGGGTGAGATCTCCACACGGTCTTTCCTCTTGTCAGAGCGCCGCAGGATTATCACAGAGTGGATGTGCACGATCCGGCTGGTGTCCACCTAACGGCACAGAGGGGCAATCAGCGATTCCTGCGCCGGAGAAGCAGCAACCCGCAGGGCACGGGCACGGCAAGCTTCCCTGACTCTGACTCTCCCAGGGGCTGACCCAGGCGCTGGCGGCTGCCACGGCCGCACACCAGAGGGGTGCCGGGGTCGCTCCGTGCGCGATGCCGGCGGCCGCAGCCCGCGCAGGCCACAACCCGCATAGGCAGCGCCGCCACCCGCCACTCCCCGGGGCCGCCCCTCCGCGGGCGGTACCTCTCCGATGCAGAGCCCCATGACCTCCTCCTTCTCGGTGCTCAGCGCGTGGTTCAGGCACACCAGGAACGCGTCCGCCTCCAGGTGCACAGCCTGCACCGCCATCTTGCCTGCCCCTGCCCGCCTGCTCCCTCGCCCCGCCCCCTCGCCGGATGCACCAATAGCAGCGGCGCTCTCGGGCCCTCCCAGCCAATCGGCGCAGCCTCCGGCGAAGCGAGCGGTGCGGCGCGCCGGAAGGGCCGTGCCGCCCACGGGAAGGGCCGCCCGCCCGGCCCCGCGGCCCCGGCCCGGGGAGACGCGGTGGCTGCGGCGATGTGCTGCGCCCTTCTCCCGCCCGCCCCGCCATGGCCGGTCCTGTCCCACGCCCGCGCCACACCCCCTCCCCTCCGGCGCTCCCTGCCCGGCTTGGCCCCGCTGCCCCGGCTCCCGCTCCCCGGCCCGGCTCTTGCGTCCCTTCCCTCGCCCTCCCCGCCCCTCGGCGTGGCTCCCCCCGCATTATGTCCATCTTTTTGTCTTCCTGTTGTTTTAGATCCCACCAAAGCTCGGCCTGCCCTCCCCACGCTGCTGGACAGCCCGGCTGGTCGGTGAGCATCTGCTACCCCTCAGTAGGTCGGGCAGAGCGGAGCGTGGAGTCACAGGGGCTTGCTCCAGGCAGAGTAGAGTCCAAACCCCCAAGAAGAAGCTTTAGAGTGTCTCCACGTGCCCTTAAGTCACCAGATCCCCGAGCTGTTGCCCGAGCCGGGCTGGGTTTCTCAGGAAGGCTCAGCAGCCTCGTAGCCCCGAGGCGTGCAGGCAGCTCTCCTGGCCCAGCAGAAGGCCAGGCTGGCCAGCCTTGCTCTGGGGCTGCAACTGTGTCAGCACAGTGCTTTTCCTAAATGGCAGCTGAACTCCCAGTTGCTTTTTAGAACAGAAGGTGATAAAGGGTGCAATTTATTCAGCACACTGACCTCCAGCTCTGGGGTGGTCCAAGCAGCATCTGGAGCAATTTCTTTCACTCTTTCCATAAAATATTTTAATGTACCCAACAAAACCAAATAAATTGTTGTCGCTACAAGCTGCATTCCTCCTCCCGGCCACTTTGACATTTATCCATATAGTATGGCTCAGAAATCCATCCAGGTCCCAGAACAGCATTAAACTTCTAAGATTGATGCTAAGATGGACAGAACATCTGCCAGTATTATTCCTGTCTGTGAGGACTGGGATTTGAATCTCCCCAAAACAGCACTTTGAACAGCTCAGCCTTCTACAGCTGTGTTGATGGGAATGTTAAAGTCTCAAAGGATGATGCTTCAATCCTGCAAATTTAAGCTGTTGGGGTTTTTGTTGGTTGTGGTGGGTTTTTTGATAGGTTATGAAGCAAGCAGTGTAAGAACTGGGGTTTAAAACTTGTTTAAAATATAAGTAAGCTCTCTTCTCCTTCCACCCATGTGTTCCTTCAGGCTTTGTTTTTGCTTTCTAATCAAACCTGCAGCAATAAGACACTGTGCATGTTTTCAGGTGCACTGTCTGAGCGTGTGCTTGTGGAATCTCCAGTTTCTTTGGTGTGTTTGGGTGCTGCAGACACCTGTCCCAGCCCAAACCCCATTCCTGTCCCACCCCAAACCCCATTCCTGTCCCAGCCCAAACCCCATTCCTGTCCCAGCCCAAACCCCGTTCCTGTCCCAGCCCAAACCCCATTCCTGTCCCAGCCCAAACCCCAGTCCTGTCCCAGCTCAAACCCCATTCCTGTCCCTGCTCAAACCCCATTCCTGTCCCAGCCCAAACCCCATTCCTATCCCACTCCAAACCCCGTTCCTGTCCCACCCCAAACCCCGTTCCTGTCCCAGCCCAAACCCCATTCCTGTCCCACCCCAAACCAATCGACGGTTTTGCCTGACCTCAGGGTTTCCATGTGGCACCTCCACAGGCCAGACTGAGCCTTTCAGCTTTGCAGTTCTGGGGAGGCCTGGGGCAGTTCACTGGGGCAAAGGGTGACAACACACAGTAACCTCTGCCCGCTGTGCAGTGTCCCCTGCAGGAGACCTGCTCTGTTGTGATCTGTCATCGCTGCCATCTCCACTCCCCCTGAACACAGAGGTGCCTGGTGTGCTTTAGCCCTGCTAGGCTGGACCAGGGCAGTATTTGGACAGGAGACCTTCCAGGAGAGCTTACCTACAGTAGGAAACACAGTTCACTTACTGAGACTTGGTTTTCTATTGCTGGAGCCAGTCTTGAGCCTTCTGGTTCTGGGGATGATGAGCTGTAAAAATTCCAGCTTTGAATGGAATAAAAGCAAGTTCTTGGGCATTTCTGATCATGATGGAGCTTCTTGCAGTTTACTGCAGGGTAGCAGAGTATCCTGGCCGAATTCCTCCTGGGGTGATTGTGTTCAGCTGACTGAAAATGATCAGTGGCAATTGCTGCATTTCACTGTTGGGCAGAGTTCCACACAGGGGTTTAAATTTGTAATGTGGCTTAGGGTAAAGCAGAAAGGAAAACAATTACAGAAATGTCCCTTTAACCCTAATTCCTGAAGGCCTTGTGAGGCTTGTCAGACTGCAGTCACATTCCTCTAAATGCCAGCGATCCAGCTGGTGGGGCATTCCTTGGAATGCCTGTTCTTCATCACAGGATGGCAGCCAGAACAGTGGTGCTTTGTGTAGGGCACATACACATCCCCACACATCAAGCAAGGAAACAAACAGAATGGGTGAAAAAAAGAAGGAATAAAATCACTCAGAGTTTTCCTTGTGCTGGTGCTGTTCAGGCTGATCCGTGGTTGGTGTTTTGTTCTCAAAAAGGTAGAGAAGCACTGATGTAAGGTATGGAAGGCATCATGGAGGAGTAGTTTCTGTTATATACGCACCCCAATGTATAGCAGTTTATTTTTTTCTCTCCCTGACCTTCCATCCTTTATTTTGTACCCAGATTTTCTTGCTGCTGTTTGAAATATGCCTTATAACCTTACAAGGTTTCAGAAGACCGCTGTGTTTCACTGGGATAAGGAATATTGCATCTGCTTCATAGCAGGAGGATGTTTTATGTGTTACAGCTTAACTTTGTTCTACTTTACACCTAGATAAAGGATGAAGACTGTCTGTACCATTTTGATTACCTCTTCTAGGGTTCAAAGAGAATCATTTCCCCTGACCTCCATTTGCTAATGGCTCAGCTCGATCTAACTGGCACACAGATAAACGTGCTGTTAAACAAAAGTTACAGTAGCAGGAAGCACCTGAGTGCCCCAAGCTCCTCTGCCCGTGGCGGTGGCTCTCTGTGACCAGCCAGAAGCCGAGTGACACAGTCCTGAGCGCTGCTCCCGAGGAGTTTGGGTGTGAACGGACAGTGCTGGCACCCCGAGAGATGAGACAAAGGACCCTGCACCCCGACAGCTCAGCGAGCTCCAAAGATGAGAGTCCTGCACACCGAGCTCTGTGCTCTGTCTCCAGAGTGATCTTCGTTCCTGTTAAGCTCACCTCACTGCTGGTCACGAGTTTTGCTTTTGGGATTTAGACCACCTCTTTTTCCCCCCCGTTTTACACAAAGACTGTTAATAGGACTGTTAGTGGAATGAGCAAAGCCAATACTCGCAGGGTTTAACTGTGTACCGATAGCACCTTTTGCCCAGAATGCCTTACCGGTGCCGCCCAGCCCGCGTGTCCCGGCGTACGACTCGGCCTGACGGTTCCGCTGCCTCAGGCACCACCTCGGCCTCCCGAGCTGACTTTTAGGGACGTTTCCGCACGTAGCATCTCATCCAGCGAGTCAGACAGCACCCGGCTGCCCGGTCCGGGGCTCTCTCCGTGACCACGAGTGCGCCCCGCGGGCCGATGCCGTCCGGCTGAGCTGCGGAGGCGCCTGCGGCATGGCGCAGGGAGGGGAGGCAGGCGCTCCTCCCGTGCGCCTCTGGGTGCGGCGCGTGGGGGTTTACTGCGATGAGCACCGCAAAACCTGGCTCGTGGCTGCGGAAGAGGCAAGTGTGTGCTTTGAGCTTCCCCGTGCTTGTAGCGTTGCTGTTTCAGGTGCCTCTGCCAGTAACTGCCTGCTCTGTTTGTTACTTTCCCCCAGGAGGAAGGTATGCTGAGGGCTCGGATCCAAAGAGTTCAGGTTCCCCTGGGTGAGGCGCTGCGACCCAGCCAGCTCCCCCCATCCCGGCTGCCTCACATGTGGCAGCTGTCCCAGGGTGAGCAGTACAGGGATAGTAACTCTCGCGTTTGGGAGATAGAGCACCATCTCATGGTAAGGATGGTGGCGACAATAGAACATAGTCATTCCTGTTTGTGAAGTCATTTGAGATCCTTGAGGGACGGCAAAGGACTGTTACTTTGTTGAAGTCCATTAGCTCAACCACGGTAACTGTAGACGTATTGAACTTTTCCTTGTCACTTACAGCTTGGTGGTGTTGAAGAACTGCTGCTTAAACTCGTGCCTGGGGATTAATCTGGTATGTGCAGACGTTACCCCTGCTTTGTACTGTGCGCTGTTTACTCCCAGTCTTTCTTTAATGTGAATTTTTGTCTTTCGGGAGCAGTGGCTCTAGGAAGATGCCATTGTCTGTTTTGTACAATAAAAGGTTCTCTCTCCACTGAAATGCAGCCACCTTTGAGGTGGAAGCAGTTAACACACAGCAGCATCACACAAGAGTTTAGGACAGGCAGTGAAGAGGAGTATTGTGACCAAGTGAAACATCAGGGGGAGTTCTAGGTAGGCAGAATGTAATTGCCCCAAGTGGAATTCGGCCAGGATGCTGCAAGTAATGCCCTAGTGATACTGGGAACTGCTGTGGGCTGCTGACTTGTCAGAAACTGGAAAGGCAGCAGCTCCCAGCTCTGAGCAGAGGCTGAACTGTGGCTCAGAGGGTTCAGTCTCACCACCACACTCAGTGACACTGGTGCTTTCCTAGAGGTCTCCCGTTCAACTACTGGTACCACCAGCTTTTGCTTGGCTTTTGAGCTTACACTGACACAGTTACAGGTGTCACAGCTGCAGAAAAATCAACTCAAGTGTCTGAAATCCTTTTCCGATGGATTTGAACAAGATGGAGCTGTCCTCCAGTCTGATTGAGGGGTTTTTTTGGACAGAAGGAGAGGATTTCCAAGAGACTTCCTCCTGAAACAAAATGAAAAGAGCCCTTCTTCTTGGCTTTGTGGCATATACACAACTGAGTTGTTTGGTTGATTGTTTTTTTAATGCCTTCTCCAGCTGTGGTTCCATGACTTGCCACCAAATCCTTGGTTGTGTAAAGCTCACAGAGGTGGATTTCACATAAGTATCTGTCTCAGTATATGGTCTAGAGATAGAAAACTCTTAAAATTTAGTCAGCTGTGTTAATTTGAATATTTTCTGGAATCTTTGTACATCCAAGTGGAAAAGGACACATTTTAACTAGAGAAAAGAAAAAGGCTTTTAAACTTAATGACATGAAACTTATTCTATTCATTGTCCCCATCATCATCTTTCAGCCAGACAGAGAGTTCTTGTGTATGCTGGCAGGCACCTGGAAGCAGCAGTAGATGTTTTCTGAGTGATGACAGTGGGGGAAATTGGGAGCTCCTGAAAGATGTGGCTGTAGGACATTGTCTTTCCCCCACCCCCTGAAAAGAACCCTGATCTACAGTAATATTTTCTATCATTTTAGTTCCTGAACATGTCCCGGAAGGATCCCTGCCAGAAACAAGCCTGTGAAATACAGAAATGCTTGCAAGGTACCAAGTGTCATTTTTGTCTTTGGTGTCTTGATTTTTGGTGGAACTTAATTCTTTTAACTTAACCTTGTCCTTTCACCTTGAGAAGGAACAAAGCACATTAGCATTGCCTGGTTGCAAAATGAACAAAATTATAATGTCTGATTTTAATAGAATTGCTTTGTGCTTAATTGTAAATAATGAGACATCATTAGTATAAAGCAGATCATTAGTAACAGTAATGTGCTTGGAGTGTTCTCCATGCTGGCAGTGAGATCCCAGGTGTATTTTTGGGACTCAGCTGTGGGCAGGAAGAGCTAGACATTATAATAAGCTCTCTTACAGTGTGGTTAGTGAGGGAGTAGGTGGATTGCATGAGAAGACTGCAGAGCTGCTCCAGGGGTGTTTCAAGAATTCTGTCAGGAACAGGTTGGGTGATCTGTCCTCGAGGTGTGAGATGGTCTTCATGTCCCCAGCAATTGTCTAGAGTCTACCTTTAATGTCCTCACGATTTGGAGCATTCTCCCATGAAGGACCACCTTCTCTCCCTGTATTACTGCACTTAAAAGCTGATGATTGACCCTATTTTGGTCCCATCTGTGGCAATGTTCTTTTTATAACATTTGTGGAAGTTATTCCAAGTGTTTTTCCTGTGTAGGTTTGTGTGCAGTGCTGATCTGAATGGTTAAGTGTTGGCAGAGAAGCTCTTTGCTGCATGTCCACATCACTGTCACTGCTGCTGCTCATCTCTTGTGCTGTGGAGCTGTCTGATGTGCACACATGAAACAGAGAGCAAAGCAATTTTCCCCTGTAAAAATTAAAGTACAGAGCCTTAGCTGAGGAATGCACAGTCACTGTACCCAGTGTGTGAGATAGAGGGTGGGAGAATGCTGACTTCTCAAAAGTCATTGTTCCAAAGATCTTGCTGCTCCTCTGTGAGACTGAATGCCTGCTGTAAATCTTTTTTGTGTTTTCCTGTCTGTGTGTGACTTTCAGGAATGCATCCTTGACAGATGATGGCGTGCCTGTACATAGCTACAGTTTTAGAAACAAAGCTGCAAAGGCAGAGGGACAGTTGGGAGAGCCTTGGAGCACTCATCAACTGCAGGTTATGGCAGATCAGCTCTCCTCTCCAAGGGCCTGCCGTGCTTCCTGGGCTGCCAGCTAGCAGAAATCACCACGACCTTTTTCTCAGGGGTGATGTGTGTGTTTGTATTGCAGCTCACTCACCGACCCAGTCAGGGAATTCACAGCCCAGTGATCACAGCAGTGTGGTTTGCTCATTAACCAGAAGGTGTTCACTGCTGCTTTCTGGGCTCTCCACAGGTGCTGTGTGTCTCACATTATGCTGCTGTTGCTTCTTTTAATCTTGTAACAGTCACAGTGGGTCTGAGTGCAGTTGTGTAGTGGTTGCAGAGCTCATCCAAGGCAGAGCAGGTGGCTGTGTTTCTGGGCAGACAGGCAGGAGGTTCTTAACTCAAACCAGACTCGGCCTCTTCCTGCAGGACTCCTCTCTGAGTCACAGAGAGCTTTAGATAGCTGCAGCTAGAGAGAGGTTTTTGTGAGCAAGAAAATGATGGAATGCTTGTAAGCAGCTGAAGAGCTGGGCTAGGCGTGCTCCCTCAGGGAACAAAGCCTGTTCCTCTCTGCAGACCTGGTGTCTCCTTCTTATTTTGCAGCGAACAACTACGTGGAGTCCAAGTGCGAAGCTGCGCTGCAGGAGATGCGGAAATGCTGCGCTCGGTACACCAAGGGCAGGTCCATCTGTTGTTCAGGGTTTGAGAGAGAAGAAAGGGAGAGAGAAAAGGCTAAGCTGGCTTCAAAAGGAATTTCCCCACCACCTCAGTAACACAATGCAGCTCCGGCAGGCGCTGGAGCACGGACTCACTTGAAGAGCTCGTGTGTGTTTATTCAAGCCTTCTTTAGACTTTCAGAAAAGCCAGACTGCTCCTGGAACACACCGTTCAGCACACCAAAAAGCATTACACAGTACCAACATATGGCCTGGTTAACAAACTTTATTTTCTGTACGAAAACACAATCTACGTTGCCTCTGCATCACACCTGTGAAATGTCAACTTGATGTTTTTAGGATGCTTACCTTACTCTAATCCATCCTTGCTCTAAAAATGGAGAATTGGAGCCGAGTTGTTCTGGCTTCTGGAGCGAGAGGTACAGGAAATGAGCTCAGAAGAGTGAGTTTAAACATGAAACAAACCCATCTTGATACAACAAAGGTATCGCTGCCACCGTGCAGTAGTTCCAGACAACATTTGCCTGTCCAGTGGTTCAAGCTCAAGAATGGGCATCAGGTCTGATGATTGTTCCTAAGTCTTGTATAGATCACGAGTGACTACAAGTCACTTTGCCTAAGTGCCTCACTTTTCCACTGGACAGAGTTGTTTATTTTATATTTGAATTGCCTACACGCTGCTATTTGCATGATAAAGATGTTACAGGAATATAATTTCAGGGATTGCTACAGGGATAGGATATTTTTTTAAAAAAGCAATATTCATTTGAAAGATTTGACTGTTGATACAAAATTTATAAATTTATGTCTAATTGAACACCTTTAAGCAATATGCTTTGAATCCAAGTCTAGTTAAAACTGCTGATACCCAAAGGCCTGTCACAGAGCCCTGGGCTAGATCCAAGAACTGACTTAGGTGCTGCTTACTGAACAAGCAGTTGTAGGCAGTTATTTTCCACACAACATTCCAGACTCACTCCCAAGCCGGCTGTGTCTGGACCCCAGGAGAGATGGCTTTCCAGAAGCTCTCGGCCACGCAGCAGAATTTCCTGTGACCTGTAGGAAGAGCTCATAGACAGGTTCCTGCACCACCCCTCAGAGCTGCCTGTCTGCTGTCACCTCTAGCAGGAGTCCAGGCACCCAAATATCAGGCTCCCAACCCACTAGCCCTAACTCTGTATTAGATCTAGCCGTAAAGGACTTTTGTGCTGTGATGAAGTACAACTTACTTATGAAATAGAGCTTCTATAAACCACTGAGGTCTAGGCACAATAGTTGTGTGTACTGAAGCCTAGAAGAGCAAACCATCTGTATTCACTGCTCTGAAATACCATGGTACAAAATAAACGACTGGAACAAATTGTGGTCTCTGGTTGTTTGTGGAGCTGCAAGCGGGGCGGCTTGGCTGCCGTTCACAGCCCAGAGCCGTGTGAGAGCATGTTTGAATAGGAACTGCTTGGTGTTTTTGTAACTGGGGCTGAAGATCAGGATAATATAGGGCTTGTCTTCCCCTCCCACTGCCGTCGCCCCCAAGAAAAAAACCTTTAAGACAAAATGGGGTTTAGTGTCCCTGAAAAGTAGGGAAAAGTGATGACAGTGTTGTGAATCACCTCAAACACTGACAAGTAGCAAATTTTTCTCTTTTGCCCTACCTGAGCCGGAATAGTGGAAAGAAAGTCACCAATAGATGATAAAATATATATATTTAGGCTTCTGTTGCACCTACAAAAAAGAAATAGCCTTGTCTCCATGCCCATTTGAAGTTGGGTGGAGCAAATTTGCTCAGCAGAGGCAACCCAGGCTGGCTACAGACCCACCTCCTGCCCTAGCAGCATCCCACATTCTTGGGAATATGGGTGATTGGTGCCAGGATGATCATGGGGAAGGATTCATTAAGGTAGCCCAGGTTACCTGCATGGATGAGGGGAGACTGGTACCCCCATAACCTCATGTATGCTGGAAAAGACCTTTGAGTCCCAACCATTCCCCAGCACTGCCAAGTTGACCACTAACCCATGTTCCCAAGTGCTACCTGCCTACATTCCTGTGACAGGAATGTGCTGGTTCCCAGGAAGCCAACAGACCTCACACAGAGAAGCATTTAGAGCAAAACTGTTTAATAAAATATCACTTCAACAAGCATTTACATACAATATATAAAACCACTTTAAAAGCCTAATGTGTTTGAAATCTTCTCAGAGTGTAACAGATGTCAGAAGTTGTTGAAACAACACTAAAAGGAGCAGGAGTGGGGAGGGGGACACCTCATCTTGGCACCTGCAGCAATGAAAATGCATCCCCACAGAGACTGATCCAGCATCAAAGCTTCCAGTGTTGCCCCACAGCATCAAACAGTGCCAGCCACGAGCCCAACACCAGCACAGCAGAAAGATTTGCCACATCCTGATGTCCTTGTCCATTCCCTGCCTACATTCACATCAAACTCAGCAGGGATCTGTTAATGGTTTCCCTTTTCAGCTGCATTTTAGCTCCCTCTTTGGGCCATTTCTCTCTGTAGCAAACGGGGACTTGAGCAGAACTCGCCCCACCTAGGGCTGGGCAGAAGTGACTTGAGCCTGAAAAACATCCCTAAGGCCTGTTAATGATTTGCTTTGAGCTTTGTCGTTGGAGACAGCTTTGTGGAGATCAGTGCATCTCAGAAAAAGCTGTGTTCTGCAGCCCACCCAGCCAAAGAGCAGCAATGCTGTTGTCTACAGGAACAAGAGATACCCTGCAAGACCAATCTATCTATTTACGCATGTTCACATCTGCAGATCCTACAGAAAAACAAACCAAACCCCCCAAAAAAACCCCACCACTGTCTGTAACTCCACTGCTAAACACCAATTTATTGAAGACCTATTTGCTGCATCCCATCACTCCTGCAGTCCAGGATGGCCTTCAGGAAGGCCATTGTTAAAGGGTGTGAGCCCAGCTGCTCCTTCGTTCTCCTTGGCCATGTATGGCAGGACAGGAGCAAAGACAGCAGCTTCTATCTCCTGATTACCTGCAGCCTCTTTTCAGATCCTGAAGGTGAGGAAAACAGCTTCATCAATGTGGTGCTATATGGACACTTCAATCAGCAGAGCTGAAACAAAATTACAAACTGCAAGTGCTCATTCCAAGCCCTCTGGAGAAGAACTCACCATTTCAGCTCTGCCAGCAGCCCGCAGGGGAAGATCCCCTTTCCAGCCATACAGAGAGCAGCAGATCACAGAGCCTTGGCACAGCACTGGAAATGGGGTGCAGCTGCTGAGCCAGGTGCTGCAAACCACCCACCCATGAGTGTCATTGCTCCCTGCCATGTTTCCCATTGAAGAATGAGCTTTCACATAAAATCCCACATTCTGGGCAAGAACCCCTACCTATACCTGCTGGAGGACATCACCAAGTTGTCAGACAAGTCTCTGTGCTTGCAGAATACCCTGGGGGATGTTTGTTCGTACTGCATACAACTGCACTGAGTCAGACTGTCCAAAAACAGCTGAGCTCTACACCTGGGTTGCCTCATCTCCTGCAGGAGAAGGGCTGCAGCTGAAGGATTTAAGCAAACAGCTTTTCTTGTGGAAATGGCAAACACAAAGAAGGAAGGAACAGAACTGAGGCAGAAATATGCAAACGAACCGCTCTCACAAGAGCACGGTCTGGTTTTCACTAGTTTTGTCATTTCAGTTGCTTGTAGAGACCAGGGAGAAGGAATTTGTGCTCTTCAGAGGCAAGTAAAGGACTGCACTCCAGATTTCACACCATCCCCCTTTCTCCAGTACAGCTGGCAACAGGGACCTGGACCAGTACAGTGTACTCTAAGCACGGATGCATTTCCTGTCTACAGTCCAGTCCACAAGGCTACAGCTCAAGGAGCATCACCAGTGCCAAAGTGACCAGAGAAGTTTGTGGTGGACATGGAAACCCCAGCCAGAGGCCGAGAGTGATTTACAGTAAGTGGCACAGCTGAAATACCCCCATCTGACACAGCCAGGCTGGGCCTGCTGGAAGCAGGAGAGAGCCTCAAAGGCTGAGCAATCAGGTGGCTCTACAGCACAGAACTTGGTGACTTTCAGAACACATGATGAGGAAAGGGCCTGGAGAGTCAGCCTCAGTGCTCAGTTTCCATCAGCAGTGCCAGTGCTGCAATTCCTGTGTGGGGAAGGATACCAGCAGACACAAAGCCAAATGGCCATCTATGTGCAGTGAAACAGCAGGGGGAGGGCAGGAAAATCCATATTCCCCTGTCCTGGATGCAGCTCAGGCTGTTCTTTGACACTTCTGCATCCACCCCAGGATAGTCAACCACATTTTGGATTGCACAGATCATCTCTGTGCAAAGGGAAGCAGAGGTGTTCCAGGTACCAGGGCAGGAATACTGAAAGCTAAATTGTGGTAAGAGCTGACACATACAGAGTGGTGAAGAGTTTGACACATATACTGGCAGACAGAGGTACACATAACAGTCCTGAGCACCTGGAAGAAGCACATTTAAGAGGTTTCTCTGCCACTACATTTTTATGAAGTCAAAACTCATCAGAAAATTTGAGACTGGGCGTATTTGGTGGGAAATCATGATACACTGGGAGTTGTAAGCTTCCAGACCAACCCCAGCACACTAACAGCCCAGAAAGAAGAAAAAGGTGGAAATCAGAAGCAGCGTTGTAAGAAATAAGGGCTGGAACCTGTGAGCAGATGGGACTGAGTCTGTTGGCAACATCCTTTGACTTCTAAGTGAGAGATAACAGCAGTAGAGGAGGGGAGGGGAGGTTGGGCATGAGAGGAGAGCGCAGCTTCTAGGATGCGATTCCAAGCATGAATCCTCCAGCAAACCCTCCAGTCAGGATAGCGTTCTTCTTCAGAAATATGACCACCTAAGCAGGGGTGAGAAGAGACAACAGTGTTCAACAACATCAGGCCACCCACTGACCCTCCTGCCAAGAAGAAATCCCTCAGGCTGTTCTAGAGGCAAGTGATGCTCACAGAGATGCCGCTGCTCAGATTTGGGAAAACTTCCTACCTAATGACCTCCCCTCCCTAATGCACCAGCACACAGCCAGATCTTCACCCTGCTCAGCCACGAGCAGCCAGCTCCTCCAGGAGAATGCTGTGGGAAATTATCTCTTCCTAAACTCTAGGCAGGCAACATCCACAGCTTTTGCCATCTCTCCCACTTTGCTGTAATGCAATAATTCCCTCATTGTATTTGCACAACTGAACATCTGTAACAGCTCAAGAGTCAATCCTGTTTTCTGCTGGCCCTCCAGCACATGCCCTGGGAGAGCTGTCTCACCTCATCCACTCTGCTTTTCACTTCTGGAGGCACTTGATTACCACTGGTGTGAAACTTCAGCTGCTGCTTGGCTTTGTTCATGTCCCGTTGTACTAGGTTCCAGTCCACCTTGATGTATCCCGTGTGGTTTGCAATCTACAGTTTTGAGGATTAGAAAAAAGTTCCTCAAGTCCTGTATGACCATGGCTAAACAGACCCTTGCTCACCCACTGTCCCTGACCACAGACATCTCCCACTCGCTGGTCCAGTGGGCACACTGGCATACAAACTGGACAGAACACCACCCTTGGAGCTGTGTCAAGTGTTCTGCAACATCTGTCTCCCACAGTAATCCCCCAACAGCTGGGCACACATTGCAGCTTAGCCTGCTTCAGCCTCTTCCTCAATGTAAAGCTGGGATCACCTCCCCCTCACAACTGCCATGGATATTGTTGGGACTCCCTGCAGTTCTGCTGCTGTGGGTGGGCACAGCTATTAACAGCCCATTCCTCTCAAACTATTTTATCTGCTCAGGGTGATTCAGCTGTGGAACTCCCTCTGCCCCAGCAAGCTTTTGACTTTCAGCAGAACAAGCAGAACCAGGAGAGTGAGGGAGAATGAATCACACACAAGACCTGTGTGCCTGAGGAGCAAACAGGTGAGAGCTGAACGAGGCCTGAGAGCTGCTCTACCTGCTCCAGGATGCACCAGACGCATGAACACATCCCAGCAGCTTCCCTCAATGCCAGGGCTCTTGGAAACCAGCACAAGTTGTAGAGGATGGAGAGAGATCTCCTTTCTCTCCTCTTCCCCAGTGCTTTAGAGTGAGCCCCACCTGTGCTGGCTGACTCCTCGGGAAGCCAGGTTGGCAGGAAGCATGTCACAGATATGGGTAAATCCTCCTTGACATGCAGGGCTGTTTCTGCAGGGACACCATGTCCACAGCCACAGACTCAGTATGTTAGGCTGTCCTGCAGCAGCAGCATGGCTCCCTGCAGCTCAAGGCTGTCTCCTGCTCCACTCAGGTGCCCCTGCAGGAACAGCTCTCCTGTGCCTTTGGCCTGGCCTTTGGTAGCAGATCCTCAGTGGGTGTGCACTGGCAA